TTGTAATTCACTTTAATTAATATATATTTATATATTTTTTAAGTATTTAGAATTTTATTTTAAAGTTCCAATTCCAATAGACCTTTAACTCCCTTTAAGCTGCCAAAACTTATATTGAATTCCCATATGGAGAAACTCTTTTTTCTCCGTGCATCTACCTTATGACAAATGAAACTTCAAGATGGGTAGCTTGAGCTGCAGTTCCGTTGATTTGACTGCCATGAAATGGCAGAAAGCGAATCGTCCTCTGGGGGCCAACTAATTAGGCCTTAAGCTTTCGGACTCAATCAGCGTGTAAGCAATTGCCAATACGTGATTTGCCAAAACAAAAACTTTCACACACGCGCCCCCCACCATGTGGGCGTTCGATGTTTTGGCTTGGCCAAAGGGGGCGTGGCAGATCACAGCTGCGTAATCGATTTTCAAGTGTGAAAAGCGGGGCCCCTACTTTTCTGGCCCAAAGCTATTTGCGGCCATTTTTTAATCTACACTCGAACGCCTTTCTGGCATGCGGCCGTATTTGCACAACGTGATGAGATTTTGCGGTCCATACCCCTCTGCCCAACTCAACGCAACTTTGCGAACGGCCGGAGGAGAACTCTATTTACATTTTTTGTTGGCATATCGATCTTTGGCCAAAATCTTTGACTCCCTTTATGGCTGGAACTCGGGTTTGGTGGTTTCTCTTAACGCCTGAAAGCAGACAACAGCAACTGCCTCTAAGCTCGAGTAATTTTTTTGCTGCCCCGGTGGTTCTTGGTTTCTATTTCATTTTTTTCCCTGGTTTCTGGGGTGATGCGGATGGGTCTACAACACGCAACAGCTGCCAGCAGCCGGCGGAAGGCGGAAAACTTTTCTCTCTGCCAGCCAACAAACAGCAGGCGACTGGGAAAAATGCTGGAAAAAAATAAACAAGTATCGGAAAACCAGTTCGAAGAAAAAAGAATGAGCCTGGAAGTTAAGGATTATTATTAATATCAGATGGGCTTCCAGCGATGACAATATTGCAAGGACTTTTGCTGTTGATGATGTGATTATTATTACACAAGTTTCTAAAACTTATTTTTGTGTACCTTAACAGCAAGTTCCTAAAGTTATGCTTACGTTCTTTAAAATCTTTAATATTCTGTTTTATATTCAGCTTTAAAATATTTTTAAATATTCTTCAGAAAACTTGGATTTCCAGACTTTCTTAAGTTAAAGTTTCCTTGGCGAAAAAGAGTATTTGGCCATGACAGACTTTCCTCTGACGTAAGTAGAATTAACCCCGTTCCCCTTTTATGGTTTTTCCTTCTATCACATGCTAACCTAGCCTCGTTGCCATATTTTTTGGGGGATTTTCTATTAGGACATTGCATATACATCAAGGCAAAGGCAAAGTTTAGTCTAATGCTCTTAACGCTCATGTCTAACCTCTTTCCCACTCTGGCCATCATTTCTTTGCAGCTGCGGTGTGGATTTGTCGCCTGTCTGTTTGCCTTCGTCTTAGCCCACTGCCCCGCCCACCGATCCCGCCCATCATCTCACAATTCTCTACTTAACACATCCACTAACGACAGACGTCGCGCAACTTTCGACATGTCTCTCGAGTTGTAAGGCGCTGAGAGTAGTTCCATGTCCGAGAGCGAGTGCCTAGTTTTCCCCGCTCCTCTCTTATTACACTCAAAGAAAAACATAATTTCCAACACTTATACTAATCTTATCAAAGAATCACATGTATTCATCATACATCGAAAAGATCTCGCTTCTGACGATATTTCCTCTACTTATTTTGGTATTTGCATTTTATTAGACGAACTTTATGCAATAATTATATAAATCTTTAAACCATTTTAAGAATCCAATAAACAATTTTAAATATTTAATTTTTATGTCTGTTGGAAATGCTTCAAATATTTACTAAATGGTTTCATAACATATAAGTTGTATGATCATTCATATAATGTTATTTAATATATAGAGATTTGACCTACGTTGTTACCCCATAAACCATATTTAAATCTTTAAATATTTTTAAACAATTCTTTAAAAATGTCTCACACATTTCAGTGTTCATACCTTTTAATATGATTTGTTTTTTTTATAAAAATAACTTGTATTTTTCGTTCCAGTGCACTTTGCCAGTTGTCTGACAGATGATAAATAATTTGATATAAATGCATTTTAATATGCAACTGCTGCTCATTGGGAGTGCCGCCCTTGCTGCGGTGAATTTATGTTTTTGCCGTAAATCAAATGAATAATTTAAGCTCTCTGCATGGCCAGTGTCCGTCACTTAAAAATGTCAGGGCTGCCATCAAAAATTTCCCTCGGTCGCTTCATTTTTTCCATATCTGATTTATATCAGCCACAGCGAGAGAGTCGGGAAAAATGGGCAATGTAAGCTTTGCGTAATTGCATTAAATGGCATGGAACCGAATCCATCATACAACTGAACAAGAAATGGCTTGCCAGAAAGAGAAAGGAGAGTTGGAAAGGGACGGCATAAAATGGGTAAACAAAAATAAGAAATAAAACATATAATTTGAAAGACCGAAACTTAAAGTACCCTTCTTCAATGCGGAAAATTAACATTACATTTATAGGTCTTATAAAAAAACTTTCAATGATGAGTGGTACATATATAAATTACTTTAAATTATTACCATAAAATTCTATTGAAAACGTTTGCCTTTAACAAAACCACAACAATATCATTGTTAAATTTAAATATATCATTTATTCCATGCAAATTATACATTTTATTCCTTGCGACTTTTTAAAAAAGTCAAATTACCCTTGCAAGTGGGGTAAATGTTCTCTTCATGTTCAACATCAGCGCACAAAATTCCAATTTATTTTAATTGATTTATTAATGATTGAAATGTTGCATAAATGTAGCAATATAAATGTATTTTTCGGCTACCCCGAATCTCATTTTGACAGACTCTCCGCACTTTTTATCTCTTTCGGTGTCTGATGAGCGAATCAATTTTCAAGATGAACTGAGAGCTCAGACATGAAACAATGCAAATTACAAATGACCAAAAAGATCAATAGGAAGCAGAAATAACAATGATGTGTAACGAAAATACTCATGTGTTTGTTCATCCAATTATTGGCCATGTAAATTATACAAGAAGGTGAAATAGTTTTCTATTTTTCCCTTTTCAAGTCTGTTTGCATACAAGCCTCTTTGAGAGGTTTTTCTCAATTAAAAAGCCTTCAAAGGATAAGAAATGTAAGCCTGAGGACAAACACAAGAAGAAAAAGAGGAAAACCGTATCCAATTCCTCCTTTTTGCAACACCAGCAGCTTCCATTCTCTTCGCTCTTAGATTGCACATTTGCGGATTGGCCTCAAGATTGGGCATAATTATGCAATTTCCTCTTTAACGCTCAGCCAAACAGACACAAAAAGAGTTAAATTCAATAAAATTTACATTTAACCACAAAAACAGCGACTTCGCCAAACTCGAGAAGTCGAGTAAGGAATAAAAGTAGGCAAAAGTTGAGATGAAAGTCGAACAAAGAGATGGTAAAGCAGCAGAGACTTATGTAAATTGAAATTCAAGAGCAGAAAAACCAAGAACAACAAAGGCAGGCAGGAAAAAGCGGGAAAAACAAGAGCATCAACAGCTGAAAAACCGACTGAAAAGACAAAAAGAAATTTTCATTCATTTCGAATTACGCTGTATGAGTGTCAAAATGGCGGTGGTTTTTCCCCCTCCTCTGGCATAATTGAGGGCTTAAGGGGTCTGAGGAAGGTTATGTTTTTTTTTTTTGGGGGGGGTGGTGGGGGTTGGGGGCCTGGAGGTCACCCGACAATTGGCCGGGCTTTTGTCACTTGTCGCTTCTGCTGGCGGTGCAGACCGAAAATTCAATTTCATGCCGCGTGACACAAAGACAAAGCCAAAGCCACCAAAGGCAGACATTTTCCCGGGAAAAGGAAAACTGGGGGGGCGGTAAAAGCTGCGCTGCATTCGGGAAGACGACGACGAAAAGTTGACATTCAAAAATGTGCGCACTTCGCTCAAAAGAATTTCAAATTAGCCACTTTTGCTCAACAATTGGCGCAGGCAACAAATTAAAAGGCAGCCAAGTGGGAGTGGCACCGCAAAATAAATGCAGAGGCGAGTCGAGAGTTCAGGTGGTCACAGAGCATCTGGCGACAATTTAAAGTCAAGTGTGCCGTTGCCGAGTATTGAGCGGGAAAAAGAAATAATAATTGCCGCACGAAATGCACTCGAAATCGCAGACAAGTGGGCAAAATGGTGGCTGCCGGTGGTCTTAAGTGGTCTGAGGCAAACTCCCAACTTCGATCTGGCATTAGCGTCATTTACACATCTGTGTGCGCCGCGAATGGCGCTTAGTTAACAATGCTCCTGCTCCTGCTCCTGCTACTGCTCCTGCCGTCGTCTGCCTCACTAAGTGGCAAAATTTCCATGGAAAAGCGAAGTAACCGCAGGAGCCACCGGGAAATTCCCCATTCGAAGCCCCAACGCTAATGGTCACAGTCGAGTCAAGTGCCCGACTTTGGCCATATGCAAATTTCAGACGCCACATCGGATCAAGAGATGTCCAAGATGTCCAATTTGCTAAGTAGAGTCCATGAGAAGCAGGACTTGTTAGAGCACTACTATACAGTACATCCATCCATATTATCTGCACTTACTCATTGGATCAGACAAAACCAAAGTTTCACAACCCCAAGAAAAATATAAATATAAAATATTTTGTTAGATTAGATTATTAAAGTTTTAGGCCAATCGATTGTTCTGCAACTTTTATATTTAAACCACAGTCTAGATCTTTTGTATTTAATTCACCATAATACTAGTCCAAGAACATCACAGATTAACAATCCTGAGAATAAATACCTCGCCATTTTCAAACATTTTACACAAGTCTCATTACTCTGAAGATAAAATTATATTTATTACAATTTTTAAAAAGCGAAAATTTAACAATTTTTGCTAATAGTAAAAACCCATAAACCACCACCAAGTATAGTATATAACTTTAAGGCATTGGATCATCGGACTCAGCTGGCGTGGTGACCTCCACATCCTTGGTGGATAGGAAGTTCTGCTGCTGCTGTTTCATCTCCTGCCGGCAGAGGTGGATTTTAAAGGCAGTTTCGCATTTGTTAGTGCCACGAATCATATGGCACTGGCGTTCTGGCCAAATGTCCGGGTTACCGGCATCCGCGAGTAGTCCAAAGAAATCTCGCTCCACAAAGACGCCATCGTGCATGAGACCCATTTGCTCATAGAGACAATGAGTGAAGCACTGAATCGATTCCGAGGGATCCGAAAAGTCATCCTGCTGCAGTTTGTGCAAGTCCCGTAGAGAAATATCCGTTTGATCGCCACAAAGTCGGATCATGTCCTCCGTAAACGGTTTGGGTGATTCATCAGCCACAGTCAGGCCCAAATTTATATTTACCTTGGCATAACGAGTCTTGAAAAAAAACCGTGTTTTATCTCCAGAATATATTTCCAAATTTTTGTGTTCCAACTCACCTCGCTCAAAGACAAAAACTGAAAAATTACCAGCACCAAAGCACGATTCATTTTGTATTTCGTTGTATTTACATTGCTTTATCTACCCAAAACCCGCTGCTTTTATAGGGCTCTTTTGATCATTAGTGGGACTGCAAAATATTTTAATTGCGAATATCAATTCAATGAGCCGAGCAGAATTCGCGGTTTTTCGGTGGCCAACAACCTGAACAAGTTGAGGCGCAGTTTGAATATCGCAAGAGTAACAAACCAAAGCAGGCAGAACTCAAATCGAAGCCGAATGCCAATTGGCATACCGAAAGTATCTTGAAAACTGCTTCAACAAATGCCGAGTGCAGGCAAGTTCTCCTCTCGTTCCAAAAACCAAAAAAATACACAAGTTGCAAAACAACATTTTGAAACAAAACAAGAAGAAATCGGTTAGGAAAGTGAGCTGTTGGAAACCGAACAGTAAATACTGTAATTATATAAATAAAACAAGATTAATGGCCTAATAATATATCATACATTTACTTTTGTTTATTTGACTTTAATAAATATACTCACTTTTAATTGATTTTTAAATCACCCATAACTAACTAGCCAGAGATGTGGTTACATTGAAATTAGAAATACTAATTTTGTATTTAAGTAAAATATATTAAATATAAAATAATTTTTGTATTTTTTATTTAAAAGTTTTCACAATGGCAAGATTTAAATGATTTCTTAGTGGCACGAATTTAATCTCCAAATCGACATACTCTTCTCAAAACTAAAATACTAATAACCAAAGTACAGTCAACAACTTTGGATATTCATGCTCGAGTGTGTGTGTGTATATGTGTGTGTGTGGGTGTTTTGGGCACTTCCGTTTGGCTGTTGCGCCATTTTGACTGCGACTATTTCCGCTGGTCGCATTAACTGCAGGCGCATAACTTTTCCAATTTGCTTTTGGCAATTATTGATATAAGCCAGCAACAGCAACTGCAACAGCAACTTCAACGAGCTTCTGTCTGCCACTTCAGTCGGCCTTCCCTCTCTTTCGCACGCCATCTATCCGTCTCCCTCGGGCAGCCTTTCCCGCTTTTGTGGCCATCTCTTTCCAACACCCAATCACGTTTGCATTGGTCCAAGCATATTTTCCTGCATTCTTGCGCATATTTGTGCAACATTCCAAAAATTCTTGAACAAAGTTTCGTTATTATTGCCATTTTGCCGAGTCTTGGGCTCTTGCAGTTCGGAGCCTGCTACTTTGATTACTTTTGCAGTTGCCTTTAGATGCAATTAGTTGGTTCATTAGAAAAACAACTCCCCCGCCCGATAGGAATTCACACACTTAATTAGCAGCCTCGAATGGGAGGAGATGCCAACCCTCAACTCTCATTGATTGCAGTCGGCTACACTCGGAAAAACCCATTTCCTCATATGTCCTTGGGTCCACAAAGAATTCCTGACTTTTAGGTTGGTCATTCTTTTGATTTTTGAGTGTAAAAAATGCAAGTTCAACAAAAGAAATGGATAATTTATCAAACTGCGTATCATAAAACAAATTATAATAGTTATGGATGCTTTTCTTGACACTTTTGAAAATCACTTCATAAAGGATTTAGATCCCATAATTAAATAACAAGAGTTTCGATTTATAACATCCAGAAATTTACCTTTTCGTTAGATCCATTTTCTCGTGTTCATAGAAATATAAAAATAAATAGATAATGATTTTAAACTGATGATTTGCAGTGCTTTCTTAAGAAATAGCAGGCCATAATGTAAGAATTTTCTCTTATTTTATTACTTAGTGATTTGACAAACCCTTAACTTAAAAATACAAGACCTGAATAGTATAATTAGAAACTCATAGAGGATTTAAATGCTTTTAAATAATTATAATTTATTGATCTCTATTTTCTTCCGAGTGCAGGCGACAACTTGTATCTTTGAATCTCGAAGATAGCCGGACTGCTTGAGTATGCAAATCGGTTGGCAAACTCGAGCTGAATGATTTGGTCAACTCTTTTGGCCCTCTGGGCTGAAATTCGCCAACCCCCTGCTCAAGAATTTAGCATGCAAGTGGTCATGTGACCCGAGGCTGTGAGCCAGCTCTGTTGCATATTTGTTGCATAATGCCAACTTATGCACTGGCACATTGTTGACCAGTTGTCCGGAATCTCTCCGCTCTCTCTATATATCCTATATCCTGCATACTATATCGCATATATCCCGATTCCTCCGACCCTCGGCTTACATTATTTGCCGCTGTGTCCACTGCCAAAGTGTTTTGGGTTGAAAAATCTACAAATCGCATGCCGCAAACAAAAGCAAATGCCAGCAGAAGGATGTGGATGGCTGGATGGATGGATGGATGAATGGATGGATGGATGGAAGGATAGATGGCTGAACGCTTAGAGGGATAGATGGTTAGATGGCTGGCATACCGGCATTATTCCACGTCACTGGCCAGTGCACATTTCAAATTGGAAAGGAACGCTGCAAATACTGGGAACTTGGCTAGAATTCTCGGGCAAACTCTCATTCAAGGCGAAATAAATAAGTAAATAGTTGAGATGCTCTCGCCGCTGTGACAATTCGGCTTTCATTCTTTTACCTCCCAACATCCTGCCCCCTTTGCGGTTTAATTTTCCCATCCCGTCGGCATGCAAATCACATACAATCAGAATGAAGTAAACGTGGGCCAAAGGCAAATATGACATTTCAGTCAGCCAAGTAAATAAATGTTAGGCGGCGCAAATGGAACGTGCCAAAGCCGCCTGAAGAGTACGAGACCTCAGACACTCGACCCCGGAGTTACCTTCACCGATGCTCCGGGGTCTCAATCTTCATCTAGCCCCCAGGATCCCCGTTTATCCCTGCCTTTTGCACCTGTCAATCCTCCGCAAACAACTGTGAGCAGTCATTTTCCAGCCCGAGAAATGTGGAGCTTCCCCAGATGGATTTTTATGCTTAGGAGTGTCTGGTTAAACAGGAATGACCTGTTTTCGAGATTTTATATTTCGGACAGGCATGCGAACATTTTCTACATTATTTTTGTTCATAGCTTAAAGCGAAAGATTTGCCTAATTTAAATGGTAATTAATAAACTTGCGTGTGGTACTTTGAACAGTTCTGTGTTTTATAGGTAAATAAATATGAAATAAAAAATATACGTGATTTATATACTAAGACTTTCATGTTCTTTTTAATGGCATCTTAGATAATTTTGTGCAACTATTTTAAACTTCTGACATTATCTTCAGACTTAAGGTTTTTAATTTTTGTAATTTGTTGCTCTGGAATATAAACTTGTTATTAACATTTTAGCAGTTGTTTTATTTTTACAATCTAAACCTTATGTTTAAGAAATAAGTTGCTTGTGTATAAAATCCTTTAGCCTTCCATCATATCTCGTCTTCAGCCATACTTTCTTCCCATTCCCAAAGTCGTCTTGTACTTCGTTTTCCTTTCTTTTTAGCCTACAAATAATTGTATTAAAATGGGAATTTTTCAATTTAAGAGTTTGGGCTGACAGGAGTCTAGCGGACATGTGACAGGCGAGACAGTCGGGAATGAAGTTGTGGCACGCATTGTCTGGAGATCTGGAGACTCCACGGAAGGGGCCAGCGACATTTTAGCCACCGAGGAAGCCATGTGGGACTTGCTCCACCTCCGCCACTACTACTGATTTTTGCACACCCAGCTTTTCCTAGTTTGCAGCGAATTGTTTGATAATGACACTGACATGATGCTGCACTGACAACTAGGCAAGAAACTGGCTGCAGCCGCAGGAGTCCTGTAGTCCTGGAATCCACCCAGCCACCCAACCACCCAACCACCCACTTCCGCATCCTGTCTGGCCCACGGAATTATATACGAAAATTAGTTGAAGCGGCGCGCCGCTGGCAAATTTTGTATGTGAGCTTTTCCTTTTGCCTGATCTCATTTCGTGTTTCCTTTCTTTTCGTCTTTTTTTTTTGCCCGTTGATTTGCTTTTCGGTTTCGGGCCTTATTTTTGGGGGCCAGTGCAAGCGGCGCTCTAAATTAAGTTTTAAGCAACATGTCTGCAAAAATCATGCCCCAGGATACTCGTCCACGTCCTCGTCCCCGCACTCATCCCTCTTGCTTCCTTCATCCTGGCTGCTGTCGCTGGCAGTCGCAACGTTTTATTCTTCGCCTCCTCTCTCGACTTGCTTTTTTCTTGTATTTCTATTTGAAGAATGGAAATTGTGTTTTGTGTGTGTTTGCTGCAGTAGTGGTCTTCCTTGTCCTTCGTGCAGTTCCTTGAGGAGCTGCAGGACTATTTTTTCGTATTTATTTATTTTCTTTTTTATTTTTTTTAGTTGTATTTCGCTGGCCGTGCTATTTACACTGGCGCAGTCAACAGTCGCCGTCGTCGGCAGTTGCTTTTCCTGTGCCTATTTATATATATAAGATATATATATATATATATTTGCAGGGATTGTACTTCTTCTTGGCTGGGAATTTGTATTTGTGTATTTGTCTTTTAGTTTATTGTGCGGCAGCTAGGCAACTTTGCCTTTTGTATTTGCGCTCCATTGAGGCAAGGAATTCAATTTTAAAATCCCCCAAACCAGCAAACGAGGCAGGGACTTGTGGTCCTGGCTGCATTTGATTACAGCTCTCCGGGACGGGGAATTCATTTTAAGTGATCGGCGGCCCCTGTGCCACGGCTCAGCTAATTAAACGTGGCGTATACTTGATGTGCGCCTAGTCGAGTATACGCCACGTTGGGCAAACAAGAACCGGCCGGCGGAGCTTAGACAACAAACTTAATAGGGGATAAGCTAGCAGCCGGCAAACACTTGGCTGGCAATTAATTAAAAGCCACCGAACAAGCAGCTAAATATTTGGTCCTTAAACGAAACAACGAGGTACAAAGGCGGACAACTGGGAAAATCCGATTTTATTGCCAGCAATGAGCAGCAGAAGCTGGGAAACATTCCAAATAAAAGTACATTTCCCCTACATGTTGCTGACCGTCAGCCGAAAATCGTGGATCAGCTGTATCATGGCCACTGTGCAACCCACTGTGCCGAATATCAGACCAATTAGTATGAGCAGTATATCGCGAATCAGCTTCCACATCAGTCGGCCATATCCTGAGTCGTAATTCAAGAATAAGTCGATCAAGGCCGGGCAAAAAAGGTTCAGATTACTCAGCGAAAAAGCGCCTTCCAATTCCGTGAGGGCAGCCAAATTGGGCACTCCCACAGCCACAGCACCTGAAGAATTTTGTAGTTCATTGTATTTTTTATTAATTTTAATTAATTATAAGGATTTAAGCTAACCTGTCAGCAACAAAAAGGTTAGGCGCACTATGTACTCAATCAAAGTTTGATGCTTGCCTCTTTCTGGGGAGTTGCTATAGTCGCTAAATATTACAGTGATCACCACAAAGCCATTCAACGGATAACTGAGAAAAATTCCCGAGGCTATGAAAACCTTGATGACCTGGGAAAGGCTACGAGAGGAAAAGAAAATTTAAAAGAAATTATGGTTAAGAAATATAAAGCATGTAACAAAAGACTATAATACATTATTTTAATGACAGTTGTATCTTTTAAAGAATATATTTAAATCTAATTAATAGATAACAATTTGGCAAGTGATTAAACCAAATAAAATATGGTTTAATATTTTTTAAATATTGTTTGCAAAGTTTTAAATCAAATAGGTAAGAGTTATTACACGGTGTAGTCTGTGCAAGCATTTAACATTTAATAAAACAACTTATTAACAATTAATTAATATATGTAAATAATACTTACATTTCGTTCTTGGGAATGTTCAGGGTGATGCTGGCTTCGACACTTTCGCCAAACCGCCAATATCCGATTATACCAAAAAAGATGTTGGAAAGCAGGATGAAGAATACAGCCAGGTTAAGGACTCCAAAGATTCCCAGATAGCTCTGCGGGTGCGCCATGTGGGCCTCGACGACCAACATCTAAGCAATAGACTTACTTGAAAATAACAATTATTTCGCAATTATTTTACTTACAGAACCCACAGCTGTAAGTGAAAAAGCGGCGATGGAAAAGAATTCAATCCATTCGACTGGAGGCGTGCTCAACTCGCGATCTTTAATATCGGGCAGACCACTAAACAAATAGTACATAATCAGGGCAAATCCAGCATATAGGAAGAAGTTGGAAACCAAATTCAAGGGCACCAGATACTTCAGACGGCGGATCATGAAGAGCGGCAGGAGCAGCAAACAAGCGCCCAAAACATAATACCGCTCGTTGTACTTATCCCCATAATAGTCACCGATCTCCTTGAAGTTCTTGGCCACGAAAACCAGGTAAACGGTGCACAACAGGAACTGTCCGAAGACCAGAACGCAGGAGGTCAGAAATCCGGCAGTTCGTCCGAAGCACTGCACCCACTTTGGACCATCCTCGTAGGCGATTCTCACCGCTTCCGGCATGGAAACCTGTGGAACTTGTCGCCTCCGACAGCACTCGGTCATTCCAGATATCTACTGGTTGGGCGGATAATTAAATCGGGGATCTCGGGTCCCGAGGTAGCCACTTACAGACCAGCAAGTGGATGGAGTAGGTCAGGAGGATCATCAGCAGGATGGACATCACGGCCCCCACCACGAATCCCGAGCAGCGGAATGCCAACGGCATCGCCAGGATTCCCGTTCCAATCACACATTTCAGCAGGGAAATAAAGGCATCGCAATTGCTGCGTTGAAAATCCATTAATTAATTGTTAAAGTAATACTTATGCAATTGAAATATAATTTTTTATTTTTATACCCTTGCAGAGGGTATTATAATTTCAGTCAAAAGTTTGCTACGCAGTGCAAGGCACATTTCCGACCCTATAATGTAGATATATTCAGCATCTCAAGTCGACCTAATCATGTCCAATTCCATGCAAACTAGTCACTAGTTTTAAAAGTACCAGGATGAAACTTAGCGAAATAGAAGACATTCTAGTAAAATTACTACTTTACATGACTGAACGTACGGGGCTTCTGGAGTCCATAACTTTACGAAATTTAATCCGATTATAAAGTGACATACCTCTTAAGACTTGTGATTCGATTCTCTAAAAATCTGCATTTCAAATTTTCAATTTACCGTCCATCAACTTTTTGACCCATTTTCATGTTAGTTATTTCTAAGTTTCCGATGAGTTGTTAAATGGTGACCCAATACTCGACTTCTAGAGTCCATAACTTTACGAAATTTAATCCGATTTTAAAGTGACATACCTCTTAAGACTTGTGATACGATTCTCTAAAAATCTGCATTTAAAATTTTCAATTTACCGTTCATCAACTTTTTGACCCATTTTCATGTTAGTTATTTCTAAGTTTCCGATGAGTTGTTAAATGGTGACCCAAAACTCGACTTCCAGAGTCCATAACTTTACGAAATTTTATCCGATTTTAAAGTGACATACCTCTTAAGACTTGTGATTTGATTCTCTAAAAATCTGCATTTAAAATTTTCAATTTACCGTCCATCAACTTTTCGACCCATTTTCATGTTAGTTATTTCTAAGTTTCCGATGTCATGAAACGCGTAACTCAAATGGGGACTACTAGAGTCCATAACTTTACCAAATTACATATTTTGTTATTAAATAACAAGAAATCATTGAATAAGGATAAGATTATGTATAATCGATTTAACTTTAAGTGAACAATAGTTACTCTCTAAGTAAAATAGTAACCAAATAAAACACATTCCTTTTAGAACTTATGAAAAGATAAAATGAAACTCACGTCAATGGCACCTCCACGCTTCGCTTCTCATAGGGATTATAGATGTAGAACGAGGTGATGGACTGGCTGCAATGAACCCAAGGATTAGGCCCGAGGAAAAGGTCAAGACACAAAGCCAGAAGACAACTCACGCTATGGTCAGCGGCTCATTGTGGTCGCCAGGATCGTCCCGTTTTTGGGCCTGATCCTGCTGCTTCGGCTCCATTGCCAGTTTTTAGCAGCCTCCAGAAGGAGTGGCAACATCAGCGGCAATGGAGTCAAATACAAAGAGCTACAAAAAACACAAGGGCAACGAAAATTGTCTCGCACTTTTGACAACAATTCCAAATTAGCTTAGTCAATTGGATAGCCCTGTTTCCATTTCCATTTCCGTTTCTGCTTCTCAGCTCTGCAGCTGCGCACATTCAATTCACTTAGGTTGCAACTTATATTGCCGCAGCCCAATCAAAATGGCTGCACATGCGCGCCCATTATCATAATAAGCGCAACTTATTGCCCGATTCGCGGTCCTGCAGCGCATAAAGTTTCCTAACTAACGGCAGATTGGTCCTGCGGTCGCAGGACGAAGGTTCCTGGGCATTGGGGTCAAGGCAAGGAGTGAAAAGGGCTTGGGATCCTGGTGACAATTTGCCATTGTTAGCTACGGTTCACCCAGATAATGAAGGATAAAATGCTTATTAAATACCATTGTTTGAGGATTTTAAAACATTTTTCAAATGTTTTTGTCTTCACCAAAAAACTACGATCTTTTTATCAGCTGTTGGTAAAAAATACACCCATTGTTTAAAAAAACTGCTTGCAATATCTCAAAATATTACTCTATTATAACACAATTTTATATCTAAAGTATTGAGATTTTGTTAATAATAACAATACATTTCCTTGTAAATTACATTTACAAACATATAATAAATTTATAATAAATATATAATAAATATATTTTATAATTTCTGGATTCAAAATACTGATTAGAAGATAAATACTTATGTAATTAAAATATGTATTTAATAATTAAGAATGGTTTATAAATTTTAGATAGAACTTCTATAATCAAGCAAAATCCTTTTAATCATGTAGAGGTAAGATAAATTCAACCAAATTATATCCCGATTAACCTACCCAAACGTATTCCCCCCTGGCCAGGCTTTACTGTAGCCCTTGGCTGATGGTAATCTCCGGCTGCATCCCCACTTCCCCCCACCCCCGCTGAATATCCTGCGACGCTCGCCGGAGGACGATTGTCATGCCAGAATGCGCACTTCCGCGTCCGCATTTAGTTAGTTGTTGTGTCTCTGGGTGAGTTTAACAGTAAATTGAATTAAAATTTATTGTGCAAATTGCAGAATTCCGAAATCGCGCTGCGCTGCACACAGAACTCTCGCCGAGACAGCGGCGCAAATCCAATACAAATAAAATTAAGTAAAAATGCACAGTGCTTCGGTAGTAAAGGGGTTATCAGGGGGGGAATATACACATATATACATATATATATATGGAAGGAGCGCCTGTGTTGGCACAGAAATATGCAAATGCGATATTGTCGCTGGGCGACATTTACAACAATTACAATAACAACGAAGGCACCTAACTGCGTGCGACATGTGACACGATATTCAAATAAAGGCGGTGGGGGCGGGCCATTTATAGCATATATTTTGCATAAAGGGAAATATGCAGCAGGAGCTGTAACTGCTGGAAAAGCTGGTTGGGAAAAGAAGACGGGAAAAACGGGAAACGAGCGGGAGCAGCGCAGCACAGCGCAGAAATCAAATAAAACAAATTTGGAATTTTACAGCAGACAAGGAACCGAGCGGCAGCATCGAAGGAACCAAAGAACTGCTTATGTGCGACAATGTCCTGGTCCTGGTCCTGTTCCTCATCCTCATCCTTGTTTTCCCTTTCGTCCTTCGCTACCTCCACATCCACATGTTCCTTAAACTGTCAGCAATGTGCGAGTGCGACTGCCAGTGTGTATGTTATGGAAACAAACAGACTGACATTCAATTTAAATTCCTATACAAATAATTGCATGGCATTGGCGTGGGTCAGAGGGGTGCGATAAAGGGGATCGTTTTGCGTTTGGTCTTGGGTTTCGAATGGGGGGGAGGTAGCTGTGATTGCTGCCGCCTGCTAACGATAGATTGCAGCTCACGGACAAAACCCTAACCTGAACTGAACTCGATTTTTCACAATATTTATGCACAAAGCAAAACCAGGACACTGGGGATCTGAGTGGCTAATGCTATTCTTAGTTGCAAAAATTAACTCAGAGCTACACACAGAAAAATCTTAACACAATTGGTAAGCTAATTAAATATTTATATAATTTTTATAATCCATAGGTATGTCTATTAAGATTCCTTAATTTAATTGCTTTTAAATTTATTATTAATAATTTATTATTATTTTTAAACATATTGTTAGTCTTTCTAGTTAATCTAGGTTAACAGATCTTTTTTATGTAAGTAACCTTACAAATGTCAAATGAGACCAAAAAGAGTTCTTTTATCAAACGTTCAACACATTGTCTTTTTTTGACTTTCATATTTTCTAGTTTTCACAAATTGAGCCAATGCAAATTTTATTTATTTCCGTTCTTTTTTTTTTTTTTTAAACCATTTGTTAGTATATACATAACACATATACATAAACAATCACTTATTAAATATATATTATGTTTTAAATAATATGTAATCCTGTAAACTCCCTTTGCTTTTTCATTACCGGTTCCTTTAAGGCTATTCTTAAATTGCGATATTTAATGCATATTCCTTGATTTTTTCCTTCAATTTCCTCAATCGCCTGATTTGCCTAGCTCAATGTCAATGGCCGACACGACTAAGGTTCTGATATAGCAGAAAGTCATCTGGCAAATAATTATAAATTCCCGGCGCTGCTCGTCTGCCTGCCTGCTCGCTGGCTTTTATCCCCCGCGCCATTATCCGTGGCTCATCATCAGCTAAACCGAAAATAAATGCCATTTCTAGCAAATTTCTCAATGCAGCGCACGCACAGGACGACAAGCCAGGACCACGGCCACAAGGATGTGCTGGCTTTTGTCCCTGCCAATTGGCGCTCACCTGGCTCACCTCAAGTGATGGGATAGGTACTTTCTGTACCTATTTATTACCATTTTTATCAAAAGTATAAAAAGTAAGTAGTAATAAAATGCGATCAAGGGCTTAACATTTAAAATAGAATATAGAATAAAATTTAAATGAACGCACAAAAGGACTACAAAATTATTTCAGTTAAATTTCTGTACCTTATGCTGAATATTTTAAGTGGACGAGTTTTTCACAATTTTTGCATGATCTTTCAGAATTGAAAAGACTTTGAGAATGGTAATAACAAAAAACCAATAAATCTAAATTTATAGTTTTCATAGCAGGGGCAGTAAAGGGGACACTTCCGATGCTATACAGTTATATATTTTTGATCAGCATTATTAGGAGAGACCAGACAAGTTCAACAAAAACTATTCTATTAGAAAACTATTTCGGCTTGAGTAGGCTAACTTAAAAATAAGTGGAAAATAGGGTGTAAGCAAACACATTAAACAAGGTAATACTAATAAATAAATCTTTCAGACGAACTCAGGTATTAATAATAACACTACTATGTAAATCATAATGCTGTACGCATGGGACTTTTTTAGGTACCTATAAATGTACCTAGATAAAACTCTACAATTTGGTCTGCCATCTCTGCTACCCTAACTCACCTGTCGTGGGGGCGGCATCCAAAAACATTATCGCCGCGCTTATCGCGTCGTCATCATCGGCGTTATCAACAGCTTAGCGACGCCGCAAAAACTTTGCAAGTGCGCCACGTTCCCCTGCAGTGACTGCCACGCCCCCCGGCCCGCTCCATCGCCCACCATTCCGTGCGCCTCAATAATTTTGATCAGATTTTCTGACGCGCTTGTCCGGCGGTGGTGTCGTGCTTCCTACAATATTTTTGCATTTATAATGCAATTCATCGTTCATTTTTCATACTTGCACAAAGTGGATTTTTATTAGATTCCCTTTATTCTCCACTCTGCTATCTTTTTTTTGATTTTGCCCGTCGGTTGCTTTGTGAACTTTGTTTTTGCTATGCGTAGACTGCACTTTGCCCGGTTTTAATGTGGTCTGGCCATATGGAGCGTTGGGCAGCTTGAAATTTCAATATCATCGAACTGGGGATGAGCAACAGAAACCAATAAATTCTCAAAAAGGATAAGAACGCACTCGCAGGGAAAACTATTGACAGGGACAAGGGGCAGAAAAACTATACATTTGATAAATTTTATTTATTGTTTTCTTGGGAAATCTAATTTTATATAATAACTTCAACAAAAACCTTTTAAAATGTATTTACTCATAAGATGAGTGCATTAAAGCATTTTAAATATTAATGCATGTCATATAAACAGATTGATAGTTGCGAACAATGAAATTAATTTATATATATTATTTAAGCCCTTACTTGAAATTAAATTGTTTTCTTTTCCATCTTTGACGAGCTCTTGATCTATTGACTGGTTGTCCCAAATTTGATATATCAAAAAATAACTTAAAGGCAGACTAAACCAATTCGGTATCAGCTAGTGGTATTAATTCTTAATTTACAATACAAATTCTTAAATTATATTAAAATACGTATTTTGTTTTCATTTATTCATCACCATTTTTACCATCATCCCTTCGAAAGGAATTCACACGCTCTCCGCTTTTAATAACTGAAAAAGTTCAAAGTGCGTGGCTTCATTTATTATGCATATTTTCCACACAATTTGTCAATGCTGTTCGCTTTTGTACGAGGCCGTCGAGAAAAACTATTTGGAAAACAAACGCAAAGCAGCACAGCCCCTCCACACACATTGCGAATTTTCTATTAAATAAACTGTCAGTCATTGACGTTGGTGCGTCGACGACGTGCGGATGCGAAAGTCATACCCGATGATGTTCCAAATAATTGCACTTGTGAATGGGGGGAGGGGAAAGGGGGGGGGTCATATGAACACATATGGGGATGGGAAATATTAACGGCATTTTTAGTGAGCGGCACGCAGACAAAGGATAAGAATAGCGGCCATGCCACCGCAGCATATTATTTGCCCGTCTGGGTCGTAATTGAATGTTACACGTAAAATATTGCAAGGAAAGTGAGTTGGGTTCATTACGGGGTCACACAACGTGAGCTTGGGAACCACATACCACATCATTTTCAACGCATTGACAATGAGTGGCAGAAAAAATTAGAGTCAAGTTCCAGTAAGGCAAATTCTTTAGGCTTCCTTTTTGAGGATCATCTCCACTTGGTCATCAATCTAGAAAGTCCAAAGAATTCACCTTTACTTGTAGCGTTTCATGGCGCTAGCACACATTATTAATTGGGCTCTGTTTTTTATACTTCACGATAACAGTTATAGTCTTATAGAAGGCTTCAAAATGAGAAAACATTTGGAGTTTTCAACTGAAAACGGTTTTTGGTTCATATTTTTTTACTAAGTGGTAAAAACTGAAAAACTTATGTTTTAAATTTTCAAATACCATTCTGTGACCGTTATTTTTTGTCTTGGTATTTTTACTGGTATATTACCGGTAAAGTGTCGCGGCTAGCAAATTTGTTAACCGGTTTCTGTTACTTCTCATTTCTATCGAAGTTCAAAACCTTCTTTAAATACAATTTTAGCACATCAAGCGACGGTCCTACTATTTTATTGTTTACGTTTGTTTGTTTTTGGCGCGTTTTAGATTCTTGCTTATTTTTAAACTTAAGATACCACCGCTAAATATGCCGGAGGCGGAACAGGACTTGGCCAAGACGAGGCGATTCCTAAAGGAGCGCCTGCAGCGAGACTACACCACTTTGAGGGGCTACGCGGAGGAGCGCTCCAATGTGCGTCAATTGCTGCAACGCACTGCGGAAATGGGCGAGTCCAACTCCCTGCTGCTCATTGGACCGCGAGGATCCGGCAAGACCACGGTATGGATTATAGATATAGACGAGACCATTGCTAATAATCCACAAAATCCCTCAGCTCATCAACGCCGTGCTTGTGGATTTGCTGGCCAACAAATCGTTCGTGGAGAACACGCTGATCGTTCACCTGGACGGAAACCTCCACACAGACGACCGCGTGGCCCTCAAGTCCATTACCGTGCAGATGCAACTGGAGAATGCCGCAAATGGACGTGTCTTTGGGTCCTTTGCCGAGAACCTGGCCTTCCTGCTGCAGTGCCTCAAGGCGGGCGGCAAGCAATCGAAGAGCGTGGTCTTCATCCTTGAGGAGTTCGATCTGTTCTGTGCCCACCACAATCAGACGCTGCTCTACAACCTCTTCGACGTCTCCCAGTCCGCCCAGGCGCCCATCTGCGTGCTGGGCGTCACCTGTCGGCTGGACGTGATCGAGTTGCTGGAGAAGCGGGTCAAGTCGCGCTTCTCGCACCGGCAGGTTTTTCTGTTTCCCAGCTCGGAGCGCTTCGAGGAGTACGTGACCCTGTGCCGGGATCTACTGTCCCTGCCCACCGGCAGTTCAATTCAAGCGGCAGCGGAACGCGTTGATGGCTTGCAGAAGATCCGGTCGGAGGCGCTGTGCTTCGCACGCAACCACTTCGACCCCGGTGAGTACTCCTTCTCACCGAGAGTCCGTGAGAGCTGGAACAAGCAGGTGGCCAAGGTACTGGCCTCCCAGCAGGCTCATCGCACCCTACAGTCGCTCTACGACTTCGACATCAGCGAGGCCTTCCTCAAGAGCTTCCTGTTCCGCCTGGTGGCCCAGCTCCGGCCACAATCGCCCCACATCACCGCCGAGAAAATGGCCGCACTGGGATCGCAGTTCGAAGGCGACGACAAGATCGAGCTGCTCTGCGGACTCTCCGTTCTGGAGCTGTGCCTCATCATCTCAATTAAGCACCACTCGGAGATCTACGACCGCGATCCCTTTAACTTCGAGATCATCTTCGCTCGCTTCTCCAAGTTCGCCAAGGTGTCCACCACGATGCAGGGCGTGGAGCGGTCCATCGTGTTGAAGGCCTTCGAGCATCTGCGCATCGGAGAGTTGATCATGCCGCTGTCCGGTGGAGCAGGCGGCGGTGTGGGCAAGGTGCAGAAGGAGTTCGAGATGCACAAGCTGGCTTTGACCTACGGCCAAATCCATCAGGCTGTGCAGCGATACCAGGCTCTGCCCACGGAGGTGGCCCAGTGGGCGCAGAGCTCACTGATCTAGATCTGAGACACCGGTCTCATTCCCTTAATCGAAATCATTATTTCCTTAATTGTTTGTATTTATTTATTATTTTTAATAAAGTTGAAACTTAATTGGTTTAAGTATAATCTTTAGAAATTAAATGTAGGTAGCTTCAGATCATTTTATACTTGATTTTATAATTATCTCTTTTTAATGTAAAACTATAATTTTGATTTTATCTATCTAAATGTATACATATATATTAGTAAGATCAATTGATATTTGAATATTTTATTTGAAAAACCAATTTTGAACATACGATATGTCTGTGCATTTAGGTCAGCAAAGAACACTTCTTATCAATCCCGAACTAAATCGATCGATAATGCTAATTCCTTTGGCCACCCGCATATTTATAAAACCCAAAATGAGGGTGGATCTCGATATATAAAGACAATCCCTTGTGAGGCAGAAGTCAGGTGAACTGTGAACGGCATCAGCATGAGGTTCCTAACTGTTCTGGCTTTTTCGCTCCTGGTGGCTCTTGTGGCCATCAGTCAAGCGGATGACAGTCCAGGATTCTTCCTGAAGATCACCAAGAACGTGCCGCGACTGGGAAAGCGAGGTGAGAGCTTTGCCATGAAGAACCTGAAGACCATACCCAGAATAGGACGAAGTGAGCAGGTGAGTCTGAGCAGAAAGCATCCTTTAAGGACTTTTGTAAACCCACAAACTGATTCCAGACCTCTGTGACTCCACTGTTGGCCTGGCTGTGGGATCTGGACACCACTCCCAGCAAGAGACGTCTGCCCTCCGGGGATTCGAAGGCACAGGAGCAGGAACTCAACGTGGTGCAGCCCGTCAACTCCAATACCCTGCTGGAGTTACTGGACAACAATGCCATTCCCAGCGAGCAGGTGAAGTTCGTCCACTGGAGGGACTTTGATCGTGCCCTCCAGGCGGACTCCGATCTGTACGCAAAGGTCATCCAGCTGGGCCGCCGTCCGGATCAGCACCTCAAGCAATCCCTCAGCTTCGGCAGCTTTGTCCCGATCTTCGGCGACGAACAGAACCCGGCCTTCATGATGTACAACAACAACGAGGATCAGGAGCTGTACGGCGGCGGTGGTAATCGCCACTTCCTGAAGTACAACACCTTGTAAGAGAAGGAGCACGAAGTCTTACCCAAATTGACAACGAAAGCTATTTAGATTCGGAATATTACAGGTTTGATTTTTATACTCCAAAAACAAAGAAGTATGAAACATTAATAAACGCATTTTTAATTTCCTAATTGCAAATATATATCCAGATCCTTACAAAGGCTCACAGCAATCATATATATAAAATTGTTTTCTTTAAAAACCAAAATGTTAAAGTCCTGAAAAACCGATTTAATTTATAGTAATCTGTCTGGAAATTTTTTGGATTTGGATGAAACATAATTTAACTGGTTCTTAACGTAAATTAAAGTACTACATATGCCTTGATCTAACTTTATTTAGGCAAGTTTTTATGAGCTACATGGAAAGAAACCTCTATTCTTTTTACGAATTTTATTACTTTTACTCGACTTTTAATTAAAAAAACTGCTTTTCATTTTATTTCTACTTTAAAAATAATATTTTACTAAATTATAAAAGTAAAAAACCTGCAATTAGTTGAGTGTTGAATCTTAACAACAAAGTTTATCAACAATTATCTTTAGGTTTTTATTTATAGACTCAAGCTTACCCATTGAAAACTCCTTAGATTGCTTGCTTTTATAATCATTTTCATTATGAATTATAATCATATTATTCTTAATTATAAAATAATTATCACATTCTTGGGGATGGCAAGCGAAAGCCCAAATTCTCGGGAATGATTGTTGGCGGATTGGACTGGAGCGGAGCCTTTCTTTATCGTCAGTCATCCCGGAAGGAATGGGAGCAGCGCATTAACGGCGATTCTTCGGCCAGGTCCACTCCACTTCGCATTGTAATCGGGGGAGTCAACAACCCAACGGCTTTCGCCTCGGTTATGACTCAATGGCGAGATCTTGGCCTTATCAAATTTATGGGACCCACTGTTGTTAGGAATTTCCAGCGATCGCATTCTTGGGCACCCTTTTACCGACTTTTACCGGCTAATTGAATTAAGCGATCTCCCCGCGAATTGAATACACAAACAGGATCATGGCGCCGTCGGATTTTAGAATTTGATGTGTTTATTTTGTTTAATTAGCAGGCCGCTGTTAAATATGCGACATGCCGTTGTTGACCAGAATTCGCAACAATTTAGTAATCCCCGCGGCCAATAAACAATCATAAGTTACAAGCCTGGCTCAAAAGACTCCGCGCTCCAACAGACGCGATGACGACGCAAACTTGACTTTGAAATTTTTGCAATGCCCCGCCGATGATCGCCTCAGTGCTTATTGTTATTGTTTTTGGCCTTTTCGATTGTTTACGTCGTTTTTCAATTTCTATTTCCAGTGCAAGCGTAGAACAAGTTTGCTGCGAGGACACAGCGGCTTAGCCAAAAAATGTCGAGGGGGCTATCATTATAATAATTGATAATAATCTTCATATCACTCAGGAGGATTTTGTAAGCAATTCTATCAGTGGAATAACTCAAAATTTCCTTTTACTCACGATTCATTTTGTCCATCATATGTTCTGCTGCTATATGGTTTATTAACTAGAGATATGACCCTGCTTAAAATTCCAACAAAAATTAATCTTTTGCATGGTAAACATTTAAACTTATTTTATACGCTTTATATCAATTGTTGTTGATAAAGTTCAGAGTCTATTTCTCGGAAATAAAATGTTATTTTGATTCCAATATTTTGGGTTCAAAATTAAAACTTATTTAATTTAAAAGATGTTGTCCTTCACTCGATTATGTATGTATTTGTTAAATATATATAGAAGTTATATAAGTTAGTTTTTATGATGTGGAATCTTTAAAATGCATATACACTTTTCCTGATCAAAAATGTAAACCCATAATTTCAAAATCTTACCAAGCCATTCTTAGGGGTTCCCAATTTGATTCGATGACGTGCGATGTGCGCCCCTGCTCACTCTTGGGGGCTCCCGCTGCCGCTCTCCCTCTCGCTTTCGCTCCCTGGCGCTTTCGCTCCGCCGACCGCTGGCTCTCTCCGGCGCTCTCCCGCCCGCCAAAGCCGCGCTCCGCTCTGAGCTTAAATACCTGTGCCGCTCCAGCGGCGTCCGAAGACGACTCGCAGACTTCGCCGCGATCGGTTGTGTTGTTGATATATAAATTAGTTCGCTCTGTTTCCGATTCGCTTGGAATTCGCCGTTTTCGTGATCGAATAGTAGGCAGGCGCCTCCCCGGCCCCCAAAAACCGCTCCCCCGCTTTTGCCCAGAAACCGATGTGTTAAACAAGCTTTTGCGTTTCAAGCTGAGACGAAAACACACACACGTACACCCAAAAAAACTAATAAAACAAAAAAAACAGCGATAATACAAATTGGCCACGCTCGTTGTTTGGGTTAATTCAATTAAGTGCGTCGGACAGAAGAAAGTCCACTTGGCCAGACCAAGTGATAATCCATCAGGCGGTCACAAAAGCGCTTAAATTGGGCCCTAAAAAAAAAGAAAGTCGCCGCACAAAGGTTACACAACCAGAGCGTGCAATTGACCCACGGATCAGAGATCAAAAACCAGAGATCCCAGATCACAAAACATAAATCACGGATCACGTATCACGCATACCCCCTGAACTTTTTTTGTGGAGCAACTATGACGACTGCGGCGAAAGTAATCTTGGCCTGCTGCCTGCTGGGCGCCATCCACATGCAAATCGCCTCGTCATCGGCCATTCCCATTTGGGAGTTTTTGACCCGCAACGAGAAGGTAAGAGAAATTGCGCATACGCCGCGTGTGCCATCCGCAGGTTGCGCATACGCCTCGTTCACTCCACTTACATGCGCCAATTGTCCTTGGCATTGCGCATCTGTCGAGACTGTTGAATCTGTTGAATCTGTCGAATCTAGCGCACCGCTGAATACTTGATCAGCCGAGCATAATCGTTATTAATAACGATATTTGATATTGATATTGATATGGTGATGCTGTGATAACTTCAATGAGTTCGCATATTAACGGCGCTTTGCCCGCTTCTGTTTTTTTTCGCGTTTTCACTCTGTTTCACACTGCAGACCATCGAAAACAAAAGGAATGAATATGAAAATGAATATGAATGGTTGACAAGACGCGGTCCATTGTCAGTGAGCGGTATTCGCTGGCTTATTTGCATAACTGTACCGCATCGATTGGCATCGTAACCAACATAACACAATAAATACTCGAGCCAAAACCAAAAAAAAAACTGAAGAAGAACGGTCCTTGGCATAAATAGACGCCTGCGGAGTGCGATCTTGACATTGGGCGTTATCAGAGTCGAGTCTGGCGAGGATTATGGTGCCTAGGAATACCGGTCTATTTCGAGCGCATTCGAGACGAGTCGTCATAAGTGTTGCCAAAAAATCGACAATCTGGTTTCACAACCGATGAAGCGAAAAGGTTATGCTCGTGGGGGCTCAGATCTAGCAACGATTAGTCAGCCAATCCCCCAAAAATAACCGAATTCAGCCGAGCGCGAAGCAAACATTAATTTCCATTTATGAAAGAAAAACACAGTTTCAATTTACATTCGCAAGTGCTGTAAATTGCCAGGGAAAAACAAAAAAAAAAACTAAAAGCTTTTCACTTTTCTGCACAAATGTTTGTGCAACAAAGCGTGACAACGTTGTGGCAATTTTCTCCGCAGTTTTTGTTTATTTTGTGTTTTTTGGTTAATGAACTCCACCGCCGAAGTGGTTTTTGTTTCGCTTATTAATTAGCCGATGGACTTTAATTTATATATAGCAATTTGCCCGTCATTAGATCTTTTTGCCCGCTGCTTTTGCTGGCAGCGCATCAATCTGAGCCGCTTTTTTGACCGCTAAGCACGCGAACTGCGCCTTAAAATCCCGCAGATCGAGACAATAGAGCCCAGAATATAATGTAATCCGATCCACCCAGAACAGAACAGACTGAAAGCCACATCCGGCACCCCCACACGAGTCAGCTGAAATGAGAAAATAATTTCTAAAAAAGGCAATTAAGTGCCGAAAAATAGAAACGCAAATTGCGCAGCCGAGATATTGATGATGCTCGTGTGAAGTACGTTCCATCAATTTGCAATTAATGTAAATTTCAAACGATCACTTATTTATAGAAGATGCTTCAGCTTCCTGTTTTCAGGTGATTTTTTACCGCTTCCCCTAACTGATCGCAGCTATTTAAGCGCTTTCGTTTTTCGATTGCAAAAATAAACAACCGCTCAACGATTTTTTTGTTGCCCTTAATGTTTTTATGGGTGCAAACGCGTTTAGCCGGTTTGCGGTTCGAACTTCACTTCAATAAATAAATTATGTTCGCATTACTTTTTTTGTATTTTACGTAAAGTATGCTGGGATATGTCTGGTAATCGCAATGGAAACCCGCATCGGAACCCTTTTCCCAGACGATACAAAATCGAACCGGAGTCATTACGGCTTCGCTTTTTATTTTGTATGTTATGAAATGTTTCATTTTCGTGGCGAGTTTTTTGTTGATTTCTTTTGTTGGCAATTTGGATGTTTCATAATGTAACCTGCGCATATCAACAGGTTATTGAACTGCCGATCCGTTGTGGGGATGATGGTATATGGTGTGGTATAGGGCAGGGGATTGGACTGAAGTTACGCCCATGTTTGTGGTTCGGGAAGCGACCACACGAGACAGCTTAATGGCCCCATCTTTTGAGTCTCGCTTTTCGGGGGTTTCTCGCCTTGATTGAATATTTCCCGATTCAATAAGGAAGTCAAAGATGAGAAACTGTTTTGGGCCAAGATCAGTGTGTCTATAAGCCTCGCTAGACTTTCATTAAGTGCACTCGATGTCAGCTTAGTCACTTAGCTGGAAGGCTAATGAATTACAACCTGTCCCCGACGATCTCGAATCTACATATCTTTATAAATACGAGCTCATGTATATTATATAAGCGAATTAAGTACGTGACTTTGACAACTCCCACAAAGGCTTTTTTTTGGAATTTTCGCCCAGTAAGCCATAAATAATTTAGATATATATTTTTTTGTCAATTCTGGCTAATTATTTAATTGTGCCAGGGCCTGGACCATAAAATCTTGACAGAGTTATTCGAATCAGATAACGTGCTGCTGACGTAGCTTACATGTTTTTTCTGTTCATAAATACAGTGCGTTTCATAACTGAGTGTGTGGGGTTGGCTGGGGACAAAAGAATCGAAACAAGCGGACAAATTGGTTAAACAAATCGTTTGCAATACAAAATATTTAAATAAAAGCACACATACAAGAGGGTGGGGTGGGGGGTGGTGATAATATCAATTGCATTTTACAGTTTGCACACGTCTGTGGGTAACGGTAATTGGTAATGTGAGCCAACAACTCGCCAACTGGCCAACTTTGGCCCGATCCGATGCATTATGCAAACGGCGTAAAATTGTAAAACCCCCAAGTTGAGCCAATGCAAATGAAGCTCTTCGCTTTTCGAGTTGCTGAAGTTGATGGAAGCAGATCAAGGGTGTATATTTCTAGAAGGAGGCTACGGCTCAGACATCCGATCCTCCCCAACTTGCCCCAATTTCCTACATACTTTCTATGCCGTTTGCTCTTCCACTCTTCATTTGTTTGTTTGTCTGCCAATCAGGGGAGGTGCTAAAATCGTGAGAAGTGCCGGATTCGGAATTTCTGGGGAGTTTCGGCGATTGATTAGCACTTGACGTCACCGGCGACCAGAGAAATTCCACAGAGCTAGGCAGATGTGTCACCGCGTGGTAGAACATTCGGGGCTAATTAAAAGTCCATTCAACGCTCCGCTGGCCACGGAGAATAGACAATGAGCTGATGTTTTGGCCGCTGAACCGTAAACCCACCATAAACCGAACTGGGCCACATACCAGGCCATCAAACTCGCGCCCTGGGAGGCACTAGTTGCCCAACTCCCGGGCGGCGCTGTCGAAATGCATTTCGTTTGTGCAACGAAAGTGCAATCATCTTCCCCCTGACACACACGCACCTTGCGAAATCCTCCCACTAAGTAGTAGGTATGTGGTACCAGGTAGCTCCACCTCTGCCCTCTGCTCCTCCCATGGCCCATTATCTCCGCCGATCTCTCTTCGGCACACAGAGAAAAACTTTCTTTAGATCGCAATTTCAGTGATGATAATTAAAAGTCTCCTACCATTTCAACAGGGGCTAAAATATTATTAAAGTCCCCAAAAGGAATAATCCCATAATATATATAGTATATACTATATTATTCGTATATTCTGAATATAATTTCAGATTATTAATTGGTTTTTGAGAAGCCACTAAATCAAAACAAAATTTGATTACATGAATCTTACATTTTATACAAGGGGTCAATCACATCAAAAATTGTACAAATCTGAAAAACAGTTGTATAGTTATATTTAATTAATACTTAAATTCAAAATATAGTTATTTATAATAAAAAAAACTCTTAGCTTTAGCAGATTTTTGTTGGTGGGTTTTGATAATAATAAAATCTATAAGGTGATTGCCTAGTTTTTTCAATTATATATAACTAAATTCAAACTAATTCAGGTTGTTTCTAAGATGTTAAACATTCATGTTTTAGTATACCAATATATTTTAGAGTCACTTTTACCTAAATTTGTCGTTACTGTCGTTTAAGTTTAAGGGGCTTCTAGTTTTCTTTATTTGGAATTATGGACTTATCTCTGGCATTTAAAACAAGTGTTCCCAAAATGACATATATTCTAAAACCAACCATCGAATTTTGTTTCTGTGCAGATGTCCCACCTGTACTCGACGTTCGCCCAATTAGTTAGCGTGCACTGCAAGTCGACTGCCGCCGTTGGAGGACTGCCGGTGAACCAGTGCAAGCACAATCTGCTCACCTTCGGCTCCGCCAAGCTGCAGACGCTCTCCGACGCCCAGCTGGAGTCGCTCGACCCGTATCAGCGCGATGCCAACGAGCTGAGTAAGTGCCTCCATTCGCTAGTCGCTAGTTGCTAGTTGCTATCTGCGTGGGAGATCGATCGATTTCCGCGTCAGAACTTCCGCAAAGCGCAGCCGCGACGTGCTAGACGTGAGATCTCGATCTCGATTTCAATTTCGATTTTGATCTAACCACCCGTCTCTGCTCTTCTCTTCCGCAGTCTGGTCATCGATCATGCGGGACCATCCGAGTGGAGCCAGTTTGGTGACCACCAGGCAGCCCCTTCAGCAGCCACTGCCCACGCCGCCCGCCTCCTCGCTGATCATCCTGACCCGCCAGCAGCTGCCGCACGAGGCCTACCATCCCGTCCAGAGCGCCAGTCCCGGTGCCAACCCGATCTTCGAGAGCGGCGAGCAGAAGCACAAGTACGCCATGGACATGGACATGGCTTACGGCTACCCATCCGTGCAGCAGTCCAGCAGTGAGCTCCCGGTGGCCGCCGCCCTGACGAGTGAGCCGCCCAAGAGCTACCTCACCGGACCGCTGGTGATTCGCGTGCGGACCGATGGCTCGCCCGTGGAGGAGGACCGCCGGATGCCCCTGCCCCGCGACGAGGACCTGCCCTACTTCCGCCTCGGGCTGGCCGCCGCTCCGGCAGGTGCCAACAGGCACCGCAAGATCGCCACCATCAGTGCTTTGAAGCAGCAGCACTTCGCCTCCATTCTGCAGCGCGATCTGCAGCCACCGCACCAGGTGCAGCGGCGTCTGTTCCGCCAGCAGCAGGCGTAAGATCCTGGCCAGGGGATCCCTAGACCTAAGTCCGCGTGTGATTGGGCCCGAGTGAATGTGTTGGAGTGGCGGGTGAACTGCATCCTGCGCTTTGAGTGGACGAGTGAATGCTTTTAGTTGTAGCCGTTTGAGGAGTTTTCTTGAATGCACTTTTGAGCTTTAATGGAATTTCGTATCGTATTCGTTTAAGTTTTCTTTAATTTTATTTATTCGCGTGCATTAGCCGTAAGATCAAATAGAGATTCTTGAGTAATAAACCGCATGATGATTATCATTGTTACGAACTTATGTACATATGTGTATGTTAATTCTGAGATGTGGGGGGATCTCTGCACAAAAGCCAGCGAACCGGTTGGTTATGGTAATATCGAAAGTCGCATCTCCACCAGCCACCAGTTCCTTGTCGCGAGCTCCACTCACACCCATATTAAGCACGCGAAAGCCTTATTAACCCACATCCACCGCGTTAAGGCCGAACAATGGAAATACTGGACGAGGGGGGCACTGAATCCGGTTTGGCGGGTTCAGAACGCACTCTCGGGTCGCGATTAGCCCGGGCCATTAGAATTTGCGAGTTTTGGCAATTACAATTCGGTGTAATTTCGCTGGCAACTGGTTTATCCGGCCTTTTTTAAGTACGAGCCCCATCAATCTCGGCTCTGCAACAAAAGGCAGATTAATTGCAATGCACGTCACTGCATTTCAATGAATGATGCGGGGAATTTCCACCAGACACTTGCAATTCGTGCACCTTAATTAGCACGAGTTTTGGGCGTGAAAGTTGAAAAATTAGGAAGGGGCAGGTTTGAATTTTGATAGGCGAGCCCGCTAAAAATCGATAACGAAAACGATTATTTGGCTTATTTGCAAAGTCTTGCCCATCCACATCTGGTCACACTGGCATCAGCTGTTCAATAGCAACTAGAACAGTAAAAGGTAAATACGACGCAAAAATAACTGTTTCACGGACGATTGGAACTTTCCCGGAATTAGAAAACTGTTAAAGTAAAGACTGATAAGGAGGGTACAACTTTCCAGTTAAACGTATTGCATGAGTTTATCATGAAACACAGCTGGGTGAATCCCGAATTGCAAATGATTCATTGAATTATTGCTCATATACTATAATCCTTACACTCACATTTTTGTTTGTGTGTGTGTTTTCAGATATACACTCTCGATCCGAAAAGCATCTGTCGCTTTTTATTTTGGCACTGCGGAATTTATCGATTTGTCGGGCCGCATTAGGGTTTTAGAAAAAGGGGATTCCCAGGTAAAATCTGACCGCTGACCGTCGACGATGATTAAAGCAACTCAGTGCTACCGCGACAACGAGGCCGCTATGTCCGAAGAAGAGTCTTTCGTCATTCTGGGCAGCTCGCCGTACTCTTCGCTCCTACCGGATGGTGGTTCCTTGGCCTTCGACGGATTGGACGACGCAATGGAGTCGAAGGAACCGATTGCCACGACCAGCACTCAGCAGAACCCGGTTGCCTCGACTAGCACTCAGCAGCCACCAGTGGAAAGTGCTCCCAACAGCATGACTTCCTCGCAGCAGCAGCAGCCCAAATCGCTGGATTCAGGATCATCTCAGCACCAGTCCCTGGCGGCCAGCTTCATAATGGGCGAAGTGCAATCCGATGTGTTGAAGGTGGGAGTCTGCTTACTCCCTGCTAGCCTCTAACCCCAAACCTTGAATTCCACCCCTACAGAACAGTGTTTACTCGCAATTTCCAAGCCTCTGCTCGCTGCAGGCTTCCGCGGAGGATGTGGTCAAGCTGCAGAACATGATGACCGAATATGTTAACCTGAAGAGTGAGTAAAAATAATTTGAACTAAAAATAACCTGAGCTAATCCACCATAACCCGCAGACACACTTGACAAGGTGAACCACACCATGCTAAATTACCACAAGTTGACGCAGCAGTGGCGCCAGGAAAGCGCCGACAGGGAGCAGGAGCACAAGAAGCTGCTCCAGGAGTGCCAAGAGCAGGTCGAGAAACTGCGCGAGGAGAACCAGAAGCTAAAGGAGGATCTGGAGACCAAGATCGTGCAGATTGAGATGGTGCAGGACTTCAGCCAGAAGGAGCAAAGCGAACTACGGATGGGCATTTCCGAAAAAACGTCACTGATTGACAACATGCGGGTAGAAATCGACAAGTTGCAGCAGCTCAAGATGGTACGTTAGTCGCCGGGTTGCCCCTTGTCCCAAGCGATAGTGCAGAGCCCCGGATACAGGCTTGCATGTACAATTTACTATCTACACTTTGAACTGCGCAGTATCTTGTTTCGAATGAATGAAATAACCGCCGACGGGGCCTTCCTCTTTTTGATATTACAGCACTCATTCGAGTTCGTACCTGAAGACGGTGGCAAAACCGAACCGGATCCGGACAAGGCTTTGCACTATGTGCAGCGGGACGAACACGATCGCCAAGTGCGGGACTTGCAGCGTCAGCTTTCTAAGCTGGTGGCGGAAAATCTGCAGATCACCGACATGGTTTGTACTTTTGTCCGCCCTCGCTTTGAGTCTCCTATACTGTAACTATTGTTTGACTTGCAGGAAAAGACCTATCTCGAGGAGATTGACTGCCTGAAGGTGAATCTGACTAGCGCCCAAGAGCTGATGGGAAAAATGCAGCGGGACATTGACGACCTAAAGGCCAGGGACATCCAGAAACAGGAAGAGATCGAACACTTGCAGACCCAGAATGACATATATCGCAGGGACTTTGAAATGGAGCGGGCAGATCGCGAAAAGAATGCCGGCGAGAAGGAACAGTATCTAATGGATTTGAAGGCGCTGCAGAGGAGAAACCAGGAGCTAATCGAAGCTTTATCCGAGTCCCACAAGGCCAGCAAGTCGGCCTCTTCCTCGCCATCTACTTCATTGAGTTCGAGCCGAAGCAGTCTGCGCGAGGAGCAACGACCAGTAAGAGTATGTTGCTTCTGCAATCCTCAAATTCAAATACTTATATCGTTCTCAATAGGTTCTCGATCCAACTGGAGCCGCCTCCAGGACTTCGGACCCCGTTCTGCGCTGTCCCATCTGCTCAAAGTCCTTCAACGCGATCAGCGTGCTTCAGAGCCACGTCAACGATTGTTTGGACAAGAACTAAACACGATTACTAATTACAATATTAATCTATTTTTGTAGAATACATTTTATTATTTAAGCTAAAAAAGAGGCCACCCGGCCAATTTATTGCACATTATATGAAAAAAAAATCATTAAATTAAAGTTACGTTAACAGTGCAAAGTTTCGCCAATCCCCTCAGAGTTTGCTTCGAATGGGCGGCATTTCCAGCGACCAGACGCGGCGTACGTCTTGGCTGGCCACTAGATTACTGAGCACCGCTACATCTGCAATGAATAGAGATAAGCTAAAGTACCTTGTTATTGTATTACCCATTGCTTACCGTTGGTGCGGGCAAACTGTTGCAACGTGTTGCGTATATCACAAATTGGAATGGCTGTGTTGATGTTTGGGTACACAATGTCGTCCAACTTAATGTTGGAAACACACACGCCCAGGATGCAGCCGTTCTGATCGAACATGGGCCCTCCACTTTGACCCGCCTGCACGCTGCCATCCGACATGATGGCTCCAGTGTCGCATTTGATGATCCTCCCTTGGAAAATCGACGGGTTGAAGTCGTGCTTGTAGCTGAAGTTCACGTAGTAGGGAAACCCGGCGTTGAAAACCATCTGGCCAAGAGTGGCCGGACTCCTGGCCAGGCGCACGCAGCAGCGCTCCGGAACATCCTGAGGAGCTGTAAGCAGCGCCAAGTCGAAGGGTCGATCGCTGTCCGGATTGCACCATATCACCTCCGACTGGAACTCGCGATCGGCAGCGCGGCAATTGACCTTCTCGTTACTCTATTTGAAAGTCAGCAATAAGATTGGCTTAGATGGATGGAACCCCATATTTACCTGCCCCACCACATGCGCACAGGTGAGTATGAAGTGCTTGTTGTGGACCCTTATAAAAGTGCCAGTGCCTTGTTGACCCGCTGACTCAATAACCACTATGGTGCGCTCCCCTGGGTGGTAAATATGTAATTATCATTAAGGTTATCAAATGTGATTAGTGTAATCTTACAAGCAAAGTTCGAGGGCTCCCGGGTGAGCTGGAATGTGGATGTTGACATGCCCAGTTGCTCCATGAAATTCCGCAACAGGTAGCCAAAGTTCGCGGCCAGGGTGAGGTTGACGTTTTCTTGCTGCCGTTGGAACGAGGTACATATCACAATGCCAATGAGGCGACTGAAAGAACAGATATTTGGAGAATCTATTTCGTTGTTATATAACTGCCACCTACAGTTTGTTGTTGAACACGGCGGAACCCTCACAGCCCAGTGGCAAAGCGTTGGATATGGCGAACAGGCAGCCACTGCGTCCCATTACGTTGGACACCTTGCCGATGCTGATGGTCTTGTAAAAGTTCTCCAGGCCGAAGGGCGAGCACATGACCAGCACGTCGTCCAGCGTCTGCATGGGCTGCAGGTGGCGCAAGTAATTCCCAATGTGCGCCAGGAAGCGCTTGAAGGACTCCTCCTTATCAGGCGTTCGCAGACCCAGCACCACGAAGCTGGACCGAAGCACCTCTCCATCATCCTCAGAGTCCGCGGTCAGCAGGATGTGGTGTAGGTTCCGAGACACCTCGGCGGCACAGAACACGTACAGCGGATGGGCCGTGAAGCGGGAGAGGATGTGGGGCTGCCTCGAACCGGAAGCAGCGTTTTGGTTCTGCCTGGGTCGCCTTTGCTGCGGATCAAAGGTGACCAGGAAGTTGAGCAACCGAATACGCTGCGCCTCCTCGTCCTCTTCATTCTGGACATTCAGCAGCTGTCCCCGCTGCAGCCTGGCAATGATTTCTTTGTTCTCCGAGCCTTTGTCCCCATCGAAAACCAAGTGCGGTTGCAGAATGCTCCCTGAACTGATGATCACTTCGTTGTTTATAATGATCGCCGACTGTTTCGTGGCCGGCGGACTGGTGACTTCCAGCAGGGCGTGGCGTATCTTCAGCAGCATTATCTCCGGATTTGATTAGGATTGGGCCGTCGTCATGCTAAATTAAGTTGTAGATTATTGGTTCCAAAGAGTACCCTTTGTTTATGCTTCGGATTTGCCATTCACAGTGATAATCTAATGATCAGCTGAGTGCAGTCCCAAACAATCTAGATTTCCCATTCGCAACGACACGCGTTTAACAGCTGATAGCTCCAACCTCAAAAAGTTTTGCTGGGACTATTTGAATTTTTGTGGAGCTTTGCATAATGTTGCCGCTGCGCTGGAGTTTGCTGAAGCCGCTCCAGGATGGATACCGGCAAGGCCGTCGTTACCTGGCGCAGAAGAACCTCCTGGAGCTCACGGATCGGGGCTTCTTTCAAGGCATTTTCCCGGACACAGCGGCGTAAGTTGGGTCACATCCAATTCCAAAATAATCCCATTTTATCTATTAAAACCGTTCCACCCGCAGTCCCAAGATAAAACAGCTCTTCATCACTGGTCAGCAGAGCATCTATGCAGGATTCGATCCCACCGCCGACAGCCTGCATGTGGGTAATCTCCTCGTGATTATGGGCCTGATTCACTGCCAAAGAGCCGGGCACAGGCCAATTGCCTTGGTTGGAGGCGCAACTGGTCTCATCGGGGATCCCAGTGGGCGCCGGACGGAGCGCAATCAACTGGGTGAGTCGGTGATCGAGACCAATTTGAGGGCCATCGAGCAGCAGCTGAGACAGGTGTTCGAAAACCATGAGAAGTGCCTGTGGGACACGAATAAACACAAATCACCTCTGGCTCCACTAACGTGAGTTTTTAGCTTATCACAGGCTGTAAAAATCCAATAATAATCCTCCTCCTCCACAGAATCGTCAACAATGCCGACTGGTACGCCGACCTACAGCTCATTGACTTTGTGGCCAACATGGGTCGCCACTTTCGCATGGGATCCATGCTCTCCAGATCTTCGGTGCAGTCGCGCCTGGAATCGGAGGACGGCATGAGCTTCACCGAGTTCACCTACCAGATCTTCCAGGCCTACGACTGGCTGCACCTGCTTCGGCGTCACAACTGCTGCTTCCAGATGGGAGGCTCCGATCAGACGGGCAACCTGATGACGGGTCACGAACTCATCAGTCGCGTAGAGCGGAAGCGGGAAGTCTTCGGACTCACCCTTCCGCTAGTGACCACGGAGGAAGGTGACAAGTTCGGCAAATCCGCGGGCAATGCAGTCTGGCTGGATGGAAACAAGACCTCGCCCTTCGCCCTCTACCAGTTCTTCCTGCGCATGCCAGACTCCGAGGTGGAGAAGCTCCTGAAGCTGTTCACCTTCATACCGCTGCCGCAGGTGGAACAGTTAATGAAGGAGCACGCGAGGGAGCCGGAGAAGCGTAAGGCGCAGACACTACTGGCCGAGGACGTGACGCTGTTGGTCCATGGAGGTATTACCCGAACCCTGATTCCTTGTGTTTGTATTTTATCCACTTTATTATTGCAGAAAATGGACTTAAGCAGGCTGAGCGGGTCACCAATGCTTTGTACAAGGGCAATGTGGAAGGATTGGCGGAGCTGAACCTCGCTGAGATCCAGCAGACCTTCCAGGGAGCCACTATGGTGGACATGTTGACCGAGCCGGGCATGTCAATCCTGCAGTTGGCGATGAAGGCCAAGTGCTTTCCCACCGAGAGTGAGTAACCTTAACATCTTAACCGTGACTAAGTATTAACTAAATTGTATATGCCTCTCAGCCGATGCCGTACGCATTATAAACGCAGGTGGGTTTTACGTGAATCAGAAACGAGTGCAGAACATCGCCGAGGTGCTCACCACGGGAATCCACATCCTGCGGAACGGAGTATCTCTGCTGCGCGTGGGCAAACGCAACTTCTACATCGTACGCTGGCAGTAGCCGAAAAAAACCTTGTTATCCAGTAATTGTACTTTTAATTTGTGTTAAATAATCATAGGTTGGCTTACACTGTAAGATCTTAAACTATTTATGTGGGCCTGGGCGCGGGCTTCTTACGCCACCTCTTTCGCGCGAGCATCTCCTTGGCTTTCTCCTTTTTTAAGTCCTTGTCGTAGAACTTACCGCTCTTAGTGAAGGTCTTATGCTCGTTTCGCATCTCGGCGAGCTTCCTGTTTTTCTGCTTGATAATGTTCTTCTTGTTGGCCGACTTCTTCTTGCCCGCCTCCGATATTTGCACCTTAATGTGGCGACCCTGCAGCTCCGTGTTGTGCAGCTGGAAGGCCTTCTGGAAACTTTGCAGGTCGGTCATCTCTACGAAGGCGAAGCCGCCGCGCCTCTTCTTGGGGATGCGGATGGACTTTACTGTGCCCGCTGCGGAGAAGTGCAGCTCCAGGTCGTCTTTTGTGGTCTCGAAGTTCAGGTTCGTCACATACACAACGTGTCTGTTAGTCTTAGAAGCTCCGCGCAGCAGGGAACTCAACTGGTTACTGGTTATTTCGCCATTTTCAGCCACTTCCTCGTCCTCCTCCTCGGATCCGGAGGCACCACTTCCTTCCCCGGGAGCCTCTCCATCTGACCGAGCTTCGTTCTCGCTGTTGCTGTCCTCCGGGTCACTGGGATTCCTGCCGTCCTCCTTGTCCACGTACGTGCCCTCGAAGATCTCCTTCCGTTTCTGGTCGTCGAAGTTGCCCAGCAGGTCGGCGCTGTCGTCATTCACAGTCCGTCGCACCCGCTTGGGATTGATAAAGGACTCAACCTCATAGTCGCTGCCAGAATCGCTGGCCATTTTCCGATTTCTGGGACTAATCCTTGGGAAGATTCTTGAATTACACCAGCACGTGTGATTTCCCTGCGAATGGCAAACAGTGCTAAAAAGCAGAAAGAAGCCAAAGTTTGAGATCATTTCCAGCACTGTTCAACTGCCCGCCCTGAAATTCAAATTCCAGGGTCATCCTGATGATCATGCAATATTTTCGGTGCTTGGCCAAAACCGGTTGCATCTGCGGGAGCCAAAGCGGACAGATAGTGGAGTTATCTCAAAATTATGCTAATACGGCGATAACAACGAATAAATAGCAATTAATTTGCGTTATGCGGCGCTTATCAGGCTAAACTTGATCGTGCACCGCTGACAATTGATGAACGGCCGGCCAAACGGGAATATTCCGCACAGATTACGATAGATAAGTCCAACGAATATGATACTCCGAGTGGGGGGATAATTAATGCCTGCAGAATGACTGCATCAATGTCTTTTGTTTAATTAAGATAAACGTCCGCTTGGAGCCAGTTATGAAGGAAATTTATACGATTGGTCATTCCGGCCGGTAAAATGTCAAGAGAGAGCTATAAAAGCGCAGTATTTGTCTGTTGTTAGTCAGATTTGTTTTGCAATCTATCAGCACACACATCCTTTTAACCAAACATGAAGTTCGTGGTAGGTAGTGGTATCAAAATAAATGAGAACATATTTTAGCTGATCTTCTTTAGATTGTTCTCGCTTGCCTTTTGGCCGTGGCTTTTGCCAACGAGGAGGCTGATGTCCTAAAGAGCGACTCGGAGGTGAACGTGCTGGACTTCAACTACAACTACGAGCTCTCCAACCACATTCGCGCTGTCCAGTCTGGAGCTCTGAAGGAGCACGACAACTGGGTGGTTTCCGGCGAGTACGAGTACGTGGCCCCCAACGGCAAGACCGTCAAGGTTGTGTACACCGCTGACGAAACCGGCTACCACCCAAAGGTCGTCGAGGCCTAATCTATTAGCCGATTCCCTTAGCCCGAAATAAAATTGATATTCATTGCAGCAACGTATTTTTTGAGTTTCCGTTATTTCTGGGGGACTACTTGCTTCTCTGTGAATAGCCACTCTCCTTCTTTTTGCCGCAAGCGAATTCTAGTGTTGTAAAATTATTCGCAAATTGTATACAATACCAAACAATTGCATTTTCACTTGGCTTAATTTATTTAAATTCATGTTTAATTAACTAATTAATGGTTTGAAAACATGGCCACGGAATCGCTAGCCATGGACTGTGCCGAAAGCACTGAAACCCCAGTGGAGGAGGCCCAGGAAACACCTGCGGAGGTGGAAAAGGAAGCCGGGTCGCCGGCGGTCACGGAAAAAAATATTGTATGTTCGACTGTTCCGGAGGAAAAGGAAGAAAAAACAGACGAGGATGTGGAGATGCAGGACCTGACTCTCGAAGATCCAGCTCCCAGTTGCGCCGTGAAGGCAACCGATGAATCCAGTGAAGAGACCGAAGAGGAGACTAAAGTAGCGGAGAAGCAGCACAAGGATGAGGGCAAAAAAGCGGAGGAGGAGCTTAAGATTGATGGCAAGGAGAGTATCGATATTTCCAGTAGCCCAGTGCCCGAAGCAGGTCCAGAAGGTGCAGATGAAGCCGCGGATAAGCCTCCATTAGAGGTGGATTCGGACAGCAGTGTGGAGCTCATCGAAAGTCCTGGTCCTGTAAAGTCCCCCTCCTCCTACGACACGACGGAGGAACAGGCAAAGTCAGATAATGTTGATGGGAATGTGGAAGGGGAGTCGAAGGAGGCAGAGGAACTGGCAGACAGCAGCATCGAACTCATCAGCAGTCCGACCTCTGAAAGCTCTCCCGAAAAAGATGTGGAAATCAAGGAGAAGGAAGAACAGAAGAAGCAAAGCGTTCATAAGGATCAGCAGGAACCAGATGAGCATAAAGAGGAAACAGAGCCACCAGTCATGGATGTAGAGCAGGAGGAACCGTTAAAACCTACGATAGATAAGCCCGTAGAAATTGTTAGTGAGGATAAGCCTAAAGAGCCTGCAGAACAAAGCAGTAATCCCATGGAAACCGAACCACAACCCAGTGCAGAGAAAAAGGATAACGTGCTAGAGGTGGAGCTAGAGCAGGGCACTACTCCAAATGAAGCAGAAGATGAGAAGCTAGGAGAACTTCCTTCGGATGGAGATATCTTCTACGGCAAGGACTGCATCAACTGCAACTGCAAACGGCTTCACAAGCAGTACGTGCTGACCACCCTGGCCACATTGAACTTCTACAAGGTGGCCCGAAAGACGTCCAAGCAGCAGTTTATCTGCATGGGATGCCACGACACCGCCATGGATTTGTATGAGGTTAAGTTTTTCCCTGATCTCTGATGAACGCATAATTAAGAACTCTTGCTTTTTAGGATTATGCCGGACATCTTGTAGCAAAGCAGCCGCTACTGCTGAAGGATTTCCACCAGGACCACGCAGACTTTGTGGCTCTGGACAGCAGCGATGAGGATGAGGAGGAGAAACCGCCAGGTGAGGCTGCCAAAATAATATTTCCATAATTCACTTAAATGTATTGCCCACAGAACACTCAGACTTTACAAAAGACCAGCTGCAACTGATTGAAGACGAGCTCGAAGATGCCATCAAGAGTGTGCTGAATAGAGTGGAGTTTAAGAACCAGCTCTCCTGGTCAAAGACTATCCTGCAGGCCAAGGCGGAACGCTTAGAGCGCCAGTTTGCCCTGGCAGATGCTGAATTCGAAAAGGTTCAGAGCACTGCGGACAAGATGCACTGCGCCCTGTACAATTCCTGTCCGGTGGTGCACAAACATCTGCCCGCCCTGGAAATCGAAGCCAGCGTTAGTGACTATGTGGTGAGTCAACGGAGGTTACAGTCTTATCCTGTTTTAATAACACTATTTAATGCAGCAACATGTCCCGCCTGCTGGCGAAATTGTGCGACCACCAATCCAATTGGGCGAGACCTATTACGCAGTGAAGAACAAGGCCATCGCCAGCTGGGTGTCCATCAAAGTGATCGAGTTCACCGAGAGCACCGCCATCAACGGCAACACAATGAAGAGCTTCAAGATTAGGTACCTCAACGTGCCCTATCAGATGATCAAGACGGTGACGGCCAAGCACATTGCCTACTTTGAGCCTCCGTCAGTGCGCCTGACAATTGGTTAGTGACCATATCACTTGGAATATCCTTCTAGCAGCTAAAAACACTATATACTACAGGCACTCGCGTTATCGCTTACTTCGACGGAACCACCTTGTCGCGGGGCAAGGAGAAGGGCGTGGTGCAGAGCGCCTTCTATCCGGGCATCATCGCTGAGCCACTGAAGCAGGCCAACCGCTACCGGTACCTGATATTCTACGACGATGGCTATACACAATACGTGCCGCATCGGGATGTCCGCCTCGTTTGCCAGGCCTCCGAGAAAGTCTGGGAGGACGTGCACGCCGGATCGCGCGACTTTATTCAGAAGTACGTGGAGAAGTACTCTGTGGATCGGCCCATGGTGCAGTGCACCCGCGGACAGAGCATGAACACCGAGTCGAACGGCACCTGGCTGTTCGCCCGCGTCATCGACATCGACTGCAGTTTGGTGCTGATGCAGTTTGAAGGGGACAAAAACCACACGGAGTGGATCTACAGGGGTTCCCTGCGCCTGGGTCCGGTCTTCAAGGAGACCCAGAACACCATGAACAGTGCCAGTGCGCAGCAGATGCGTGTCCCGAGGGTGAGTATTGTATCCTCGAGGTTTACCTTCTATAATATAATGCATCTTTCCAGCGCACGGAGCCCTTCATCCGCTACACCAAGGAGATGGAGTCCAGCAGCCAGGTCAACCAGCAGATGCGGGCCATCGCCCGAAAGAGCAGCTCCTCCGGGCAGAATGTGGCATCGGCAGCACCCGCATCCTCGCCAGCTACCGCTTCCGGCGGTCGAGGCAATGCCGGAAGCGCCAGCACCAGCGCCAGTAACAACGCTAGTGCCGTGCGCCACCTCAACAACTCCACTATCTACGTGGACGACGAGAACAGGCCGAAGGGCCACGTGGTTTACTTCACGGCCAAGCGGAACCTGCCACCCAAGATGTACAAGAGCCATGAGTGCAATCCCAACTGCCTGTTCAAGATAGTGCACCGGCTGGACAGCTACAGTCCGCTGGCCAAGCCATTGCTGTCCGGCTGGGAGCGACTTATAATGCGCCAGAAGACCAAGAAGTGCGTGGTGTACAAAGGACCCTGTGGCAGGAGCTTGAGGAACCTGGCCGAAGTTCACATCTATCTGCGTGCAACCGAGAACGTGCTGAACGTGGATAACTTTGACTTTACGCCGGATCTGAAATGTCTGGCTGAGTACTCCATCGACCCCTCGATCGTGAAGGATACGGATATATCCAAGGGGCAGGAGAAGATGGCCATTCCGCTAGTTAACTACTACGACAACACACTACCGCCGCCATGCACCTACGCCAAGCAGCGCATTCCCACCGAGGGGGTTCATCTGAATCTGGACGACGAGTTTCTCGTGTGCTGCGATTGCGAGGATGACTGCTCGGTGAGATCGAAATTGTTTCTGGCCCTAGTTTCTATTACAATATTTCCTTTTTCCCATTCAGGACAAGTCCAAATGCGCCTGCTGGCAACTCACCGTGGCGGGTGTAAGGTACTGCAATCCTAAGAAGCCCATCGAGGAGATCGGCTACCAGTACAAGCGGCTCCACGAACACGTGCCCACCGGCATCTACGAGTGCAACTCGCGCTGCAAGTGTCGCAAGAACTGCCTCAACCGGGTGGTTCAGTTCTCGCTGGAGATGAAGCTGCAGGTGTTCAAGACCTCGAATCGGGGATGGGGCCTGCGCTGCGTGAACGACATCCCCAAGGGCGCCTTCATCTGCATCTACGCCGGCCACCTGCTCACAGAGACGATGGCCAACGAAGGCGGACAGGACGCGGGCGATGAGTACTTCGCGGATTTGGACTACATTGAGGTGGCCGAGCAGCTGAAGGAGGGCTACGAGTCCGAGGTGGACCACTCGGAGCCGGATCCGGAGGAGGACAATGGGGGACCCGATGCCGAAGACGACGACGACTTCCGGCCGAACTACCACTACCAGCGGAAGAGCAAGCGCACCTCCAGGAGCAACTCCACCCAAAGCAGCGAGCTGGACTCACAGGAGCGGGTGGTGATCAACTTCAACCCAAACGCGGATCTGGATGAGACGGTGCGCGAGAACTCGGTGCGGCGGCTTTTCGGCAAGGATGAGGCGCCCTACATCATGGATGCCAAGACCACGGGCAACCTAGGACGCTACTTCAACGTGAGTTGTGTTTTGGTGGCGGTTTCCCTAATGATTGCTTTGATTTAACTACCTGTTGATGCTCTCCCTCCACTGCAGCACTCGTGCAACCCCAATCTGTTCGTGCAGAACGTTTTCGTGGACACCCACGACCTGCGGTTCCCTTGGGTGGCCTTCTTCTCCGCCTCGCACATCCGCTCCGGCACCGAGTTGACCTGGAACTACAACTACGAGGTGGGCGTGGTGCCCGGCAAGGTGCTGTACTGCCAGTGCGGCGCCCCCAACTGTCGCATCCGCTTGCTCTAAGTCTAGTTTTATGATTATGCTCGGAGTGAAATTCCTCTACCTTATTAAAAAACCATTCGAATTGGAAGTTTCAATTTTTATCCCTATTGACTGTTTATTCAGTGTTGTATAACGCCTCTTCAGCGTTCAGGAGGACCGTATTCCACAGGCACGCACTGGAGCCATCGATAGTATTGAACAAACATAGCTTTTTGTTCCACCACTAGAACCCGTGCACAAAAAGCAATTTTAGGCGTTTTAAAATTCGAGAGTAGCTAAATTCGGGGTCACAATGCGCCCAGCTCGCCTGTAAAAGGCTCTCGCAAGCGTCGTCGCAGGTGCGAGGCAGCGCGGAATTCCGCCAAATTGCTGATCCAAGAGCCCGAAAACCAGGGCACATCCGCCCCGCCAGTGGGGAGAAAAATCGATTTTGTGATAACAGGCTTACGCGTTTTCGCACTGCTAGTCGGATTCAGAGTCGAGTGGTGGATTCCAATCCCTCAGAATGAATGTGGACTTTGCGAAGGTGTGCGGCAAGCACATAGGCGTCTACGAGGCCTACTACAAACAGGTAAGCTCCTCGCCCGCCACGCCTCCAGGCCAAGGGTAACCGCCCACAAACTATAAAACAGCCCACACCCACCCCCTATTGATTTTTGCAGATTGACCCGAAAGCCACCGGGGGAATCGAGGCCATGACGGCGGCCAAGTTTCTGAAGAAGTCGGGACTCAGCGACGTGGTGCTGAGCAGGATCTGGGACCTGTCCGACCCGAACGGCAAGGGCTTCCTGGACAAGCCGGGCTTCTTCGTGGCCCTGAAACTGGTGTCGCTGTCGCAGGCGGGCCAGGTGGCCAACATGAACAACATCTACCTGGACACTGCCAATCCGCCGAAGGTGGTGAGTAATCGCGCCCGAAATGGCTACAACAAGTTACTAATCACAGCGACTTGCCAGGGTGAACTACCAAAAACGATGCCGTCACGCATCCAGACGGTGCCCGTGTCCAGCGGCGGAGTGGCCAACGGGGACTGGTCCATCGGGGTGATCGATCGGCTCAAGTACGAGCAGCTCTTCGAGTCGCTGAGCCCCTACAACGGCATGCTGCCGGGCAACAAGGTCAAAGGCGTGCTGATGGACTCTAAACTGCCCATGGGCATTCTGGGCACAATCTGGGACTTGGCCGACCAGGACAAGGACGGCAATCTGGACAAACACGAGTTCGTGGTGGCCATGCACCTGGTCTACCAGACACTGCAGAAGCGCACCATTCCCAGCGTTCTGCCGCCCGAGCTGCGGAAGCCCGGAGGTGCAGGGCCACCACCCAAACCCGCAATGCCCCCACCGCCGGTGGCCGCTGCCATGCCGCGTGCTCCCAGCGGCGAGGGATTCGGGGATGGCGGCTTCGTGGCCAACTTCCCAAAGGACATAGCCCCGCCGGCGGCCATTCCGCCGCTGCCGGTGGCAGTGCCGCCCATGACGCGCATTCCGCCGGTGGGCGCAGTTAGCTCCCAGCCGCTGATCCAGACGGATCCGCTGATACCCATCGGCGCTCCGCCCTCGGTTACGGCGAACGCCGATTGGGTGGTCACTCCGGCGGAACTGAAGCGCTTCGAGGACATCTTCCGGCAGTCGGATCTGGACAAGGACGGCCTGGTCTCCGGCCTGGAGGTAAAGGACATCTTCATCAAGTCGGGTATTCCGCAGCGCAGCCTGGCGGACATCTGGTGAGGCATTGCCGTTTGGGGATTAGGGATATCTTTAGTAACCCCACTTGCATTTCAGGGCTCTCTGTGACACCAATCAATCCGGAAAGCTTACTGTGGAGCAGTTCGCCCTGGCCATGTGGTTCGTGGAACGAAAGCAGCGCGGCGTGGATCCGCCGCATGTGCTAAACGCCAACATGGTGCCGCCCTCGATGCGAGCCACTGTGTCTGGAGTGGACCTGCAGCCGCAGGAGGTGAAGCCCACCTATTCGAACCCGGAGCTGGAGATGATCTCCAAGGAGATCGAGGAGTTGGCCCGCGAGCGCCGTGTCCTGGAGACGGAAATTGCCCAGAAAGAGGCTGATGTACGCATCAAGAACGGCGAAGTGCGCAGTCTGCAGGTGGGTTTGGTTGAATATTTAGAATCGATGGACATTCTAATTGAAAGCTACACCCACAGAGCGAATTGGACACTCTCACCGCCACGTTGAAGCAGCTGGAGAACCAGCGAGGAGAGGCCCAGAAACGACTGGACGACCTGCAGGCTCAAGTAGTTATTTGCATGATACTCCGGGTGCTTTTGGCTCCTGCGCCACGCTTCCTTTTGCTTGCCCCTGGGCTTACTTTTTATTTTAAATTTAAATTCCAACTTTGATTTCCTTTCTTTATCATGTTCCCTCGACACTCTGTTAACAATTGGCTAAACCCATACTAAACTGGTGAATGCACTTACACTTACAATTACGATCACATAAGGTTAGCCACAATACGGCCGTGCTGGCCAACGTAAGTCTTGACATATCGCGCACCAACGATCAGGTTTGTTTCAGTTTCTCATGATTTCTGTATATATTTGCTTTGTGTTCCGTACTCGTTCATGTCTTTTATGTTTTGGCCTAAGTGTTGTGCAAAGTCCTTGGATCGAATGGCACCTTGATTAAACTCGTTTACCGCTTACTTGCAGGTGACCAAGATTCGCGACCAGTGCCACATGCAGGAGGAGACCATTAACGAGCAGGAGGGTGAGCTGAACGCCAAGCGCTCGGAGCTGCAGAAGCTCAAGGACGAGGAGACGTCGCTGCAGAAGGAGTACGACGACAACAACCGCGAGCTCTCGAAGCTGACCAACCATCTGCAGGCCACCCAACTGCAGATAAGCTCGGTAAGTTCGGTAGCGAGACTTTCTTTGATAGCCAACAAATAATAAATCCCTTTTAAAGGTCCGCTCGATGGTCACCCAGCTGTTGGAGACGCAGCGCCAGATGACGGACGCCCTGCTCATCTGTCGGGCCGCCATGGAGAGCCAGAACGCCGAGCTCGTCTCCGAATACCAACTGAAGATCGAGCCGGACTTTGATGAGGCGCGCAAGACCCTGACCAAGGAGGTGCAAATGGCCAAGGACGATCCCTTCGAGGAGAACAACAGTGGGGCCGCCAATCAGGCCACCAACGGGTTTGGCAGTGATCCCTTCTCCGGTCAGCAGGCCAGCAAGCCGGCGATTACCACCGGCTTCGACGATAGCTTCAACATGAGCTCGGGCTTCGATAGTGGCTTTGATGCCTTTGGCCAGAGCGGAGCGGGCTCAGCATTTGGTCAGACCCAGCGGGATCCCTTCGGCTCGGATGCCTTTGCGGCCAACAAAAGCAGCGCCATCACTCCAGAGGTAAGATTGTGTAGTAGTCTTTCAAATTCGAAACTCATTGGTACCCTAAACCTTTACAGCCCGGAAAAGACGATTTTGGCAGCGATCCATTTGCCGCCCTGCACGCACCCACTGGCCAGGGTCAGGTGCTCAGTCCCAACGCGCAGAAGTCGGGTCCGCCACCCAGACCGGAGTCTCCTAGTCCAGCATTGCCGCCAAAGAAGTCCAAGGTGCCGCCCCCACGACCAGCTCCTCCACGAGCAGCCCAGGTAGGTCCACTTGGAGTTGCTTTTCTATATAATCTATATAATGACTGAACATCTATCACAGCCCACGAGTGGTTTTGGAGGCGGCGGCAGCGGCGGAGGAGGATTCGCCGACTTCGACGACTTTGACAATAAGGTTGGTACCCCACAGTTCAGTGTCCGCTGGGATCGGTGGTAATGCATGCGCCCCGCACCCGCACACGCACCCTTCAGTATGTTGTATAACAGCTCTAATCCTTGGTTCTTTCGTTTATTATCACTAACATTTCCTAAGTTTTGTAGAAATAAACCACGTTGATGCACCGCTTTGAAAAAGTAGAACTTGATTACTTATGATTTTTGATTTGTAGCTGTTTTGGTTTGCCTTTAGTAGTAGGTACTGCCGGATAAATCCCTCACCCCCAGATCACCTCACCGCCCAATGTCACACATCCCCGTAGCTTTTGTCTTGGTGCTGCCCGTATGAAACTAACCGTTTGGTCTCTCATCTCTGCAATTCTCTATTTTCAGTGAACATCTTAAGATAACCCATTCTATATACGATATATACCAGTACTAACACACATACTCAGTTAATGAATGGCCTCCTCTAGCAGCATAACGAAACAAATCAATTTGAGCGTACAAAGCTATTCGCAGCCGCATATTAACGTACATATATCAGTCACGGTGCATGGTATAATATCTAGAGGACGCAGCATTATCGTTCATGCCTAATTAGCTAAATGTACTAAATCAATTCAATCGAAACTCAACCAAAACTCAAACCAATTTCAAGCGTTACGTATCGTCGTGTTATAAATGTAGTCACAAAAACGAAAACCAAAGCAAAGGCAAAGGCAAACAGCAGACGAAAGGAAACCCTAGAGTTCGTTCCAATCGTTCGGTTCCCAATGTTGTGCAGTATTGTATTGTATTAACCTACTATTATTACTATTATGGGTTCCATTCCCCTCGAATCGTTTGAAGGACAGTGTATAATCCCGGTTAGTTTTTTGTGAAGAGAGAACTCTGTAAGGAATTTAATGCAAGTTGTTTGTTGTTTCTGCATATGCGAATACTAAAGTTTAAAGCAATTATACAGCCATACTCTATATTAAAGCATTTTACACACAAGCCTCACCAGCATTCAGATATCGATGTAACTGCCGCAAAAGTTCGAATTTTACGTGGCGAGCGAGGGCAATCGGACGCCGGAATCGGACTGCCCACTACTATTTACCGAAAAAAAAAACCCATTTCCAGTCAGCTTGTAGAGCCGTGTAGTGTTCCCCAGTCTAGCCAGCAAACAAATCGCGCTTGAGAGGGGAGCTGGTCCCCACTCAACTATATCAAAGTACTTATATATATATTTGTCAGACCTTGATTATTATAGCCACACATGTACGAACACCCACACCGAAACTAACAAGCTTCCGTGCATTGATTTACCGAGAATACATATTCCGTGCATAAATACATAATTATAGAGAGAACTTTTAGAGAAGCCCCAACCTAACCGATACAAACATGTAACAGACACAACGTTTTGCATTATTAATAAAAAGATATCTATGTTCGACATCATTCAACGTACGTCCGTCGAAGTTATTTTGGTTAAGAAAACCTGAATCCTTCTGACCTCTCAGGTTTCTGGTTATGATCCTACACAAACCACATAATCCCGAGTGGCTGCTTGAACGCTTTCGTTGACCTTGTTTGATTTCGGTTCCCCCTTTGTTGTGTTATCTTTTTGATTCCGCTTAATTTGATTTCGTTTTAATTTAATTTTGTTTCATTTCACTTTTATCTCCCCACCTCACGACCCGATGCACCCACACACAGCTCCACAACATTCCAAGCACCCCCACGCCCACGGCCACGCCCCTTTCCCTGCCCCCACTCCCGCTGCCGCCCCCAATTCCAGCGACGATCTCGAGTGGTTCGTCGTTGCTGGACAGCTTCTCGCTGTTCGACAATCCCGGCCAGATCCGCAGCCAGGCGGCCAGCACGCCCAATCCCACGGCCAATCCCACACCCACCATCACCCTGCACCCCCTGCTCCCGACATCGTCATCCACACCAGCAGCCCCATCCCCGGTATTAGCATCTGTATCAGCATCACCAGCGGGATTGTTAGCGGGAGCGGGAGCGGGAGCGGGAGGAGTTCCCCCTAGTAGCACCACCACCATCACCACCGCCCCCAGCTCGAATAACCAGCATTTGTCGCGTTCCAATACACCGCTGCAGAATCAGAGCACGACGGGATCGGGATTGGGACTGGCGCCGAAAGCGGGAGCCAGTGTGTTCGATGCCTTTGGAGGAGCGGCTGTCAGCCAGAAGGCTCCGACTCCAGGCCCCATCACTGGACCCACCGACTTCAAGGACGATCCCTTCAAGGACTACCGCTACGAGGATCCCTTCAGCATCAAGGATCCCTTTGCAGACGATGAGGAGGAGGTAGAAACCAAGGGAGCTGATGAGAAGAAGAAAAATAACTTTGCCGAGGACTTCAGTTCGGAGGGTAAGCAAAAGATATACAACCTGGTTGATCACATTTAACTCTATTTCTAATCCCCCAGATGAGATGGGAGGAGCGGCCAAAACTCTGAGCAACGTCTTGAACAACAATAACACCAAACCCAAGGCTGTCACGCCCCTGAATCACGATCTGCTCCAGCAGTTCGACGCCTTCAACCTAAACTCGAGTCCGGCGCCATCGCACCACTCGACCACTTCGCACCACTCCAACTCCACGCCGAATCCCCTGAAGTCCCAGGCAGCGCTGGACGCATTCGCTGATTTCGACGACTTCGCAGCCACAATAGCCACCACCGCAGGATCTGCAACGACGACCTTAACCACTAGCAACACAAAACTCAACGATTCCTTCTTCGATGCATTTAACGACAACTTCAGTGTGGGGCAAAACTCAACAGTGACCACTGGCGTGGTGGTCAAGCCCAACGAACAAAAGGCCATTGCCAAGGCCTTCGACGCCTTTAACGACAACTTCGAAGACGACTTTAAGACGGGCCACAACTTCGCTCAGTTCGAGGCACACAACTTCTCCAGCGACTTTGGGAGCACCTCCTTTGAGGCAAAGAGCAAGGAGAAGCAGAACGGGCAGGTGGCCAAGATGGATCCCGGCAAGAAGCCGCCGACCAAGGACAAGTTTGAGGCGGACTACTCAAAGCCGGAGAGCTTCGACGCGGATCTGGAGGAGGCGCTTAAGCGCAGCGTGCTGGACAACTAGATTAGACGAACTTAGTAGTGGGTGGTGCAAACAGATGAATGTGATTGATGATCCATGTGAAATCTCCAATCTTCAATGACACATGCAATGTTCTCTCTATTCGTTGCACTCGATCCGATCTTTAGTGTAAGTGCTTCGTTTCCGATTCGATCAAGACATCATGGGGGCTGGACTATATTCACAAAGCTTCCCATGGTTTTGCCCCGTACTCCTCGTGCTCAAGGATCCCGGCGAATAGAGAATTCCAACGGAGCCGCAGCCGGTATTACAAGCTACATGCTATGTAGAATTATATATAATTTCGCTTAATCACATACTCGTAGAGCTTAAACATATTACTATTTAACCTGTACCAAAACCCTATGAATAAACCTATGAAATAATATGGAATAGAGAGCATGAGAGAGATACAAAAAGAGAGAGAGAGTGAGGGCGCCAAGAGAGGGCTCCACTCTCAATCTCACCCACACCATTGCAAATGGGTTCTCAGCAGAGCTAACGGCAGAGCTAGTGGAGCCCCTATATAGTTTCTCGTTCGCGATTCAGATCGCGTTTGGACTTCAGAGGAGACGTTCGTTCGCCAGTTTTATATATTCTAGTATATATATTAGTGTCCACAGAAAAGTGTGAGTTGCGAGTGTGTGTAAACCAATGCGCAAAATCAGCCCCCCCATAAAAACAAACCCACACACACGCGCACAAATTGCTGCTTTGCACTATAAAAACAATTTGCCGGCGATTGTACAGTGGGGGCGCGATCTTCATGTGTGTGTGCGTGTTGCTAATTACATTTATTTTTTAAACTTAATTTCCCAGTAGCTAAAAAAGAGTGGTGAACGGGGAGTGCTGGGAGGGGGCGATAGCCCCAGTAAATTTCCTTCGTTGTGTGGTTGTCGTGCTAAGTGCTCTGATAAGTCACCAGTTATCATGCTATAGATCCGGGGGTTATCTGATATTGCTGCGGGTGCGACACGGATTCAAAGGTGGTATGGGTAGTGAGTAGTCGGTAGTCGGTATTGGTGTGAGTGCGGTTAGCATAGCTCTGGTATCAGATCAGATGGCTTGTTGACACACTGCCCACTGCGAGGGTTGCTCCAAAAGTCATTAGATGGAGTGTGCTGGACTACTCTCTCATAACTCCCATAATACTGTAATACTTCGTGACAACGTATTACGGCTTACGGAGCTTGGGGATTAAACCCCATTTTTTAACGATTATGACTCCTCGAATGTAGTCATTACTTTCATGCCTTTTAAAAATAAATAATAACTTTTACAAATATATGTATGTAGCTATAGAGTAATGCATTCTAAAGATACACTTCTACATATATGTACGTATTATACGAACTGTTCCCAACTCATTTGAAATATTATACTATCAAAGCTTTTATTTTAATGATGTCTTAATATTGTAAAAAACGCCACGCGCAGAAAATAATAATACAGTTTCAGAGATAAGGTTTTTATTTGTATTTTAACGACAGTTTTTTATTATTGAATGTGGAAAAAGTAACGATAGGAAACATTAATCACTTATAAGACTTTTCTACTCGAAACACTTTTAAAAGTATTTTCCAAAGCTGTAGATAGCCAAACAATACATTTTCCATATCTGTGCAGTTTTAAGTGTGAATAACATAGATAAAAACTATAATTTATAGTTTATAGTTTTACACTCTAAAAATGATCACCATTATACAAATATTAGGGAAATAATGAATAAGACTTAATAATTCGTCGATCGAAAGCCTCTTTTAATGTTCAAATATCTAATATCTACGAAATATTATTTGTATTTAAAAACGATTACGAGGGAAATAGATAAATATAAACCATTATCTGATGAGGAGTTCTCTACTCTTAAAATGATTATTTTATATGAGTTTTTAAGAACTGTGGATTCGAAAAACAACTTATAATTTAAGAAATGATAAGAACTTATATAATGAACTAATGTCGAGATATCCCCCCAGATCCAGTGAGTCCACCATGTCGAAGCCAGCTCTGTATTACGCCACACTGAGCCCCCCATCCCGCGCCGTCCTGCTCACGGCCAAGGCGATCGGGCTCGACCTTGAACTACGGTAGGTTCCCACACCGTGCCACTTAACTCAATTAACAAGTGTCTCCGTTCCACGCGAACCCAGGCCAATTAACCTGCTGAAGGGTGAGCATCTGACGCCGGAATTCCTCAAGCTGAACCCCCAGCACACGATCCCCACGCTGATCGATGGCGAGGACACGATCATCGACTCTCACGCCATCTGCGCCTACCTGGTGGAGAAGTACGGCCAGGAGCAGCAGCAACTCTACCCCAAGGACCTGGTGCAACGCGCCAACGTGGATGCCCGGCTCCACCTGGACTCTGGCCACCTGTTCGCCCGCCTCCGCTTTCTCTATGAACCGATCCTGTACAACGGATCCACGGACTGCTCCATCGACAAGATCGCCTACATCCAGAAGTGCTGGGAGATCCTGGAGGGCTTCCTCAAGGAGGAGCCGTACCTTTGCGGCAGCGAACTGACCATCGCAGACTTCTGCGCAGTGGCCACTGTAACATCGGTCAACGATGTTGCCCTCATAGATGAGTTCAAGTTCCCAAAGGTGCACGCCTGGCTGAAGCGTCTGGCGGAGCTGCCCTACTACCAGGAGGTGAACGGGGATGGAGCCGACGAGCTGAAGGCCATCTTCAAGGCCAAGTTGGCGGAGAACCGTGGCAAATAGGCGCCAGATATCTCCCGCTTTTATTCTGTATCCACACACTCTATATGCATATCCAGTTTTAATAAACGTCTATAGTTCGAAGTACTTTGATCGATCCTTTATTACGTGGACTTAACTTACATTTAGCAACAATATACTTAGGAGGTAATGGAAACGGAAATCGCCTTGGGGACCGGGACCGAAACGCTTAAAGGCAGGGCGGCCAGGAGATCTCCATTTGTCGCTCTATGAACTACACTTACTCAAACACTGGCGAGGATTATGTTTCACAACATAGTATCGTCTAGGGTGAGCTGTGTATTGAACTGGTAACTCGAACCAAAGTACAAAATATATCTACAGAAAGTACAAATATATAAGCGCCTTCTAGCGGGGATCGCCCAATCCCGCCGGGAGTCGGGGGTCAATGAACGGGCAGGTTGCTGCAGGCGTATAAAATATATATGGGTAAACAGACTATCACGACCCAGGCTTATGCACACACCCTCACACACGCATCTCTCATTCACACACACTGGGCCCTATTGCATAGAGCTCATGGTCCGAGGGCTCTAGTCGCGGCGCAGCAGGAATCTTTTGATGCTTTCTGGCAGCGGCAGCTCGGTGATCGCGTCCTCTGCGAAGTTTTCCAGGATGACGTTGCGGCAGGCGCTCTGCAGGGACAAGACTGCAGGAAGAGGGGATTAAGTAAGGTGCAGAAGGTCACCTACATGCGTTTATACTTACTACCCTCCAACTGGATGATTCTGATCTGCTTCGTGGTGCCGTACACGTCGATGACTACGAACAGGGGCGCTCTGTTGAGCGGAATGTCACGCGAGACGGGGCCACGGTCCACCCCGTTGATGATGAAGTGCAGCTCGCCCTTCGATGCGCTGTGCACCGTGGGCACATAGATGATGCCGATGCGGGAGCCCCTGTCCGTGAGCAGGATGTCCGAGTCGTTTCCGTTGCCCATCGCCGGGCGCAGAAGTCTCTTTGGTAGCAGCCCGCGAGGCGTCCTCACGTGCGTGGCGTCGCCCAGAAGGTTTCCTAGCAGAAAGATATGTACTATACAGAATAAACACTCCCATAGTGCATCAGGCAGTACGTACTGTGTGGCTCGTCGTCTGTCTCCGGCTCGATGATGTCGTTCGCCTCCTGGCGCTGGTTCATCTCGAACTTTGAGATCGGGTAGATCCAGCTGTTGCCCAGGTTGGCCAGGTCGGGCAGTGCGAAGTGGGGCAGTCCCTCGCTGCTGGTGCGGATCACATTGGGCGCCAGTTCGGTGAGGCCCAGGCGCATGTGACCCGACCAACCGCGCTCTATCTTCTCGATCTCCACCAGGAAGATGTCGCCGGGGGCCAGAGGGCGTTCCGAGAAGGTCAGGGCATCGGCGAAGCTTGCTCTGCGGTAGGCCACGGTGGCGTCGTCTCCCAGCTGAATGTTGGAACCGTGGTACGGGTGGAAGCGGCTCAGCTGGCGCTTGCGACTGCTCAGCGACGTGACGCCCTCCCACAGCCCCAGGGGGCGTTCCCGTTCCCGGTCACTGTGCAGATCCAGATCCAGATCCTCCTGGTCGGCGGATTCGGCGGCTTCTTCTGCTGCTCGTGGGTGCGCAGGGCAGAGGGGGCGCTCCTCGGCGGCTTCCATGAGGCGCGTGGTGTTCGGTGATCCTTGAGGAGTCTCCTGGCGTGCCCGCAGGTAGCTTATTTACCTTTTGTCTGTATTTTCCTCAGTTCAATTTTGTTGTTCGGCGATTAGGGTTGGTAAACGGCAGAGCGTGCTAAACTGCCATTCACTGGGAGGGAAAGCCGCTGGGTCCAGTGTTGAGCAGCGTTCGTGACGTAACCCAAATCAGCTGTTCGGCCAGGAAACTTTGGAAATTACGAGGTAAGATAAGTTTTTATATTCTGAGTGAAAACGTGGGAGTTACTGACCCAAAGTGTTCCAGATGCGAATACCCACTGCCCTCTATGCCGCCCGTGGCCGATCCCCGCAGAGCGAGAAGGACGTGCCCTTCCAGGAGATCCTGCCACTGCGGCTGAAAAACACAGTGAGCGGAAAGGCCGACTCCGGATCGGATGTGGCCTGCCTCCAGGAGATGGGCGTCCTATTCGCCTGCCTGAAGGACAACGAGTTCGTGGAGAAGTACTGCCACAAGGAGATCAGCCAGTTCCAGAACTGCTTCAAGTGCTACATGGACCGCAAATTCGAGGCTAAGAAGACCGTCAACCAGGGAATCGTTCAGCCGGGCAGCAACCTCAACTACAAACAGCTGAACAAGTACATGCGCCGCTACCCCAATCCCCTGTAGCTTAGAGTTTGAGTCGTTTAATAATACACTATTTACAAAGTAAGCCGGAGACACCTCCTCTTGATGATTCTTCAGTAAACCACATCGGCGTCGCCCAGTCCGGCGGAAGATTGGCTGACGGGCGAGGGCTGGCTGAGCACAAAGTTGGACATGGCACGCAGGAACTGCGGATGGGAGTGTTGTGGCTCGTAGAGGTCCGACAGGAGCGGCGGCTTCTCGCGCACGCGGTTCAGAAGATCGGACATCTGTCGGGGCTTCGGGACAGCGGGCGTCGGCAAGGCCAAGTTGATGTGCAGTGGATAGCCGCCGTGCTCCCAGGTGTCCGCCAGGATCTGCAGACTGCGATTGGCCTCCAGGACTCGGGATCGCTGGAAGTTGAGTCGCTCCTGCTGGAGTTCAGACCACTGTTCCTGTAGGAAAACCAAATAGTTGAACTATTGATTTAGAATCGAATGTTTATGGTACACTTACAAATCTGGTTCCCAAGCGACCGAAATACTTGATCTGCTCCTGGACGTTAAGCACCTGCTGCATGTACCAGTCGCGCGCCTTCTCCACGCCATCGAGGCCAAAGAGGAGCAGTTCCCGCTGCTCCTCCAGCTGTTTCATTCGCTTCAGCATGTTGTAATCGATGCCATGTTGCAGCGTGTGCCTGCGCGACTCCCTGCGCTTGCTGCTCGACTTCTTGGGCAGGGCGGGAAGGGCTGCCAGGCTCCAGTCCGTGGCCGAGGCGGAGGTTGAGGAGGAGCCGCCATCCGCGGATCCGCGGTGCTCGAACTGTTCCCTCGTCTGCGGCACCTTCGACTTCCCTGCGTCCGCCATTAGATTGAGCTGCCAGTTTTGGAGTGCATGACGTATGTCGGCTTTACCCAGTGCAGGCGGGGATGTGGCTATCTGTCGTGGTGGCTTGGGCGGTGGAGCTGGCGAACTGTAGTCCATCTCGGGAGCCAGGTTGGCCTGGGAACGAGGCCGCATCTTCACCTCCGTCACGGCCTGCTGCTGATTTCTCAACAGGCACAACTTTAGTCCCGCGCAGAAGCGCTCGAAGGAGAGCAGCCCACTGCTGGGCGTGACCCGACGCAGTGAGTCCAGCACCCCGCGGGGCAGTCCCTTGGAGCCGTCGTCCTGCCAGCCCTTCTCGATGTCCGTGTAGCGCACGTAGCCGCTCTGCTTGTCGTCCAGAATGTCGAAGAGCTTCTTCATGGACATCACGAACTGCTTGGGCAGGGCGTCCATGTCCAGGGACTGGCACTGCGCCTGGTTGGGATTACTGGTGCCTCCTCCATCGCCGATGCTGAGGTTCAGCAGACTGGTGCTGGTGTTCTGGCGGAGCATCTTCGTCTGCGGGTGGTGCAAAATGGAAAGTGGGCTGGCATTATGGATCGTCCCACGCTTGCTCCCAATGCATAACTGAATATTCATGGGAGCTCATTTGCATGGGTGAGTCAAAATGGAATGTGTGTGAATTTGTCACGCTTAAAATCTCAGCGTTCTGTGAAATGGATGATGCCAAACGAAAGACTCAGGCCACGAACTCGGTCAATTCACTTCGTAATTGATGTATTGTTTATAAACAAATATTTGATCTCAAGGTTCTCCTCCCCCTAATTGATTGGGCAAACATAACCCAGATTCTTATTTTAGATTTTGGCCAAAGGAAGATGAAAAATTAAGTCACAAGTTTTTATTTAATTTTGTCAGAATATGTAGGTAATTTTTACCCGGAACATTAATTTAATTTCAAAAGAAAGCACAAAAATATTACGATTTGAACCTTTTTTCCAAATTTAAAATAAAAGAATATCCTATAAAACAAATGTCTAAAAGGAGTTGGTAGTTTCAACTCTTAGAACTTTTTGTACAAACCACTTTGGCTTCGCTTTGCAATTGTAACTATTATTCCCCATCGCCAAACAGACTTTGTTTATAAGCCCTCTTTGATTGTTTGTTTTGTTTATAAACAAAGAGTGTGCCCTCCAATTTGCAGACTTACCCAAGCTATGCGGAATCGCTGGCTCCTGAAGTCCAAGTCGCAATCAAAATCCAATCCAGTTCTTCCGTGCGGCTCCTCTGGCAGCCTTTTGAGGCCGTTCGTCAAGGCTTCTGCACAAGCTCTGCACCTATTCTGTGTATATGTAATGCAGCTCGGCGCGGTTCCCCGACCGAAGCGCCCAAACCCAACCAACTGGTTATATTGACTGCACACTAGAGCCGCGACTTGAGGTTTTGGGGCCCGAGTCTCAGTCTCAGTCCCAGTCTCGCACGCATGCGCAACTTGCGCGACTGGTTTTCTGTTTTTCGGTGGATCTTTCAGCGGTTACCCACACACAGGCGAGTGGGAGAGCGCCAGGAGGCCAACGCAACCCAAGACACACACACACACACCGCAGCCTAGGCCAAAAGCAGGTCCAATTCCCCATAGAGATCTCTCTCAATTTAGGTAGAAACATATTTATTAGTAGAAATGCAATGCGCTTGGCTTAATCAGTCGGAAGAGGGAGCTAATCGCCTAGGTTAATAATGTATCTGGTATCTGTTGCCCGAACTGCAAACTCTGCGTGATCCAATCGGGAAGCTGGGAAGAGTGCCTCGAAAGGATCACTAGAATGAGCTGTTCACCTCAAAGTTGTATTCCACTTAGTGCTAGGATGTTAACGTATGCTAAGGATCTCGCTCTGGCGAATCATGTCCAGCTCTCACAGGGCTCACAAGTCGGCCACCGACTTCCGGCGCACGTACTTGGCAAAATAGTCCGGACGCCAGCACTTGCAGGAGCCGGGGATGAGGAACCAGTCGTAGTAGAGACGCACCTGGAAGCAGCCCAGTTCGTCGTGTCCATCGCAGTGGGCATCCGAGGGCGCCGCGGAGCCGGATGCTCCGGAGGAGGTGCCGTCGGAGGCGGTGGCCACGCCGGCCCGCTTCTGCAGATACTGCTGGTAGGCCTGGAAGTCCTGCACGGAGGGCGCCTGCGTGGTCGTCGAACTGGTAGGCACCGTGTCCTCCGCATTGGGGTAGAAGATCTCCGCCACCAGCAGGCTCACCCAGCGAGGCGAGGACAGGCAGCCGCCGTCGAGGTAGTGGCACCGCGCCTGGATGCAGCGCGTCACCTCCACCGTCTGGGTGAAGTAGCCCTCGTAGGGAATCTGGACCACGTAGCGCCAGGCGCCCTGGTAGTTCTTGGCGAAGACGGGCGTGGCGTACTCCACCTTGGCGGGGCAGGGAGTGGGCGGACCCTCGTACCGGATGGGTCCCACCTCCTCGCGGCGCTCGGCTGTGGGCGTGGCAGGTGCAGCTCCCCCGGTGTCGCCCTGGATGGCCCTGTACAAGGTGCAGAATCTGTGGTAGAAAATGGAAATTGTATAATAAAGTATAGCTTAACAACAGCTTAAGTCCCCATGAATTTGCTTTTCGAGGAATTCCACCTATGCGTATTCCAGTTTTATGTTTGTTAATTAGAGATGTTTGACCATATTAATATTTATATGTTATAGAAAGTGAAATGGCAACCTAGTTTTCTTTCTCTGGCTTTAAATATATTTTTAAGGAATTGTATTTATGCTTTTTCATGATAAATTGGTGTTGACCTCTTTAATTCCGAAAATGCGGGCTTTCCCTGAGTTTTATTTTGTTAATTTATTATTACTTGGTAATGACTCATATATTATGAATTAGCAACTCCGTTAAAAAATATCGAATTTCTATTACTCTAACTACATAACTGAAAGTCTCGATTGGTGTCATGAATATTCTATAACTCGAAGTATTTTATCTTTGCCCATATGGCTTTAAAATCACTATCCAATAAAAACCAGTTTGTACATTAGTATTAAATTGAGTACCATTACCATTACCCCCATTTAAATGTTTTTGAGTAAACAACTTACACTCCACCGCCATCGCAAAACTTTCTTGGCTTCCTCTCCTCGGCGGCTCTTCGCTGCTGGTGTTCCTGTTCCCGGTGCTGTTGCTGATGCTGGTGCTGCTCCTCCTCGTCCAGGGCGGGATCAAAGTAGCTGTACTCGTTGGACTCCACTCCCTCGGGCAGACTGCGTCGAACGCGTGTGGAACCTGCTTGGGGATACGGCCGGTCGATGTTGTTGCTGTCCAGCTGCTCCACGGGCTCATCGCGAATAATCTGGGTGACCTTGGGCAGGGTGTCGTCGGCCTTGAGCACCGGCAGTGTCTTCGAGAGGAACTTCAGCGTCTGGTTGCGAATGAGTTCACTGGGAAAATGATGATCTTTAGAGTTATTCCGATATCCTGATAGAAAACTCAGTACTTACAAGGGATAGGGCTCCCCGAGCACATTCTGTCCCAGCGGATTCTTGGGTATCTGACCCTTGTTCAGATCCCCGCAGATGTTGTGCACGGACACGGCGGACTTCTTGCCGGCGGCCACATCCTTGCACTCCGCATTCACGAAGGTGTAGGGCGGCAGCCTGACCTTGGGGGGCACCGCATTCGGGGACTCCACGAAGGCGTAGTAGCCCTCCGGTGGCTGCTCCTCGCCGTAGTCCGATGGCGACTGCTGCTGCTGCGGCTGGGCAAAACCCAAGTGGGCCAACAGCAGAAAGCTGAGAATTTTCTACAAAGGGCAGAAAAACAAAAGACGGTCAGTGTGGAGGTGGTGGTGGTGGAATCAGAGTGCCATGACAGCCTGGAGTCAAATTTACTGCCCCGAAGAGCCAGTGAATGGTCGGCTTTGTCCGGAGAAAGAGGCGAGATCAGACACTTTTCGGTGTTTTGTTGTTTGGCGAAAGCGCGAAAGTTTCTGTTTCTGTGAAGATAAACAAACTGAAAACCGAGACGCGACTTTTGCATCTCTCCGCTCTGCTCACTTGACCATTTAATTGTTCGAGGGGACTGAACTTTCCCTGAAATTCTGGGCAGTGGCAGCATCGGCAGTCCAACGAAACCAAAAGTTCCCCGGAAAGAGTCGAAGTATTCAGGTCAAGTGGCCTTGCTTTCGGTGGTGGGCGGTTGCAGTGCCATGAAGAAGCTGTGGAATTTCTCTCTTTGCGACACGGTTCACAGAGCAATTTGAATCCGAAATTGGGTCAGCCTCTGTTCAGCTCATTCTTTTGTTTTTTTTTCCCTTCTAATGGGCCAGAAACTCGTTTGCCCTGCGAGAGAGTTCCACAACGAAACAAAAACGGAGCCATTCCAATTTGCATAGGTAAATATGGGTAGCCCAATTGCAGATTGGAGACCCGAATCGACCGCCTTTCAGGGGCCAAAGACTGAAAGAGTGGCCGTTCTGGCCGGAATATAACTCGTTGGCGGTGTGTGTTCCAAATATGCGTGCCACACGACGCTGACTAACGGGAAAGTTGCTCGGCTCCCGGCCAAAAGCCAGAAGTTAGAACAGAACGTAGCGCTGCTCCACAGTTAGCTTAATTCATTAGCATGCTCCAGAATCGGGCGGTTCCCAGCGACTGGGTAACAGTAAACGTGATCGCTTAGCTTTGCCAATGTTAGCGCATTGCAAAACAAAAGACTTGGGCAACGAACTTGACTCGACGGCCACGGAAGAAGTTGCCAGTTAGCAGTTAGCACACCCGTAATGATGACATACCAGCACTAGGCGATAATCCATCTCCGCTCGATCGCTTCTTCTTCTGGTCTCGGTTCTTGGACTCGGCTCTTGGTCTTGGCCTTCTTCTTCGGCGCTATTCTTTGATCCGCAGTGGGGAAAACAGAACCAGACGCGTCAAGTGCAGCAACTGAACTGAGTCGCTGGCCAAGCCGCTGCAGACGTTGAACCTCCGGCTGCTTTTAAGCCCCGGTCAACTAGCAAGAGCACGAGAAAGTGGTAAGAAAGAAAGCTTTACCTTGAATTTTGCATATTCTGAGAGAGACAAGCTTGCAGGTGGCTTTAAAACTCAAGGGCATACTTTCAGGCTAAAAACGCTGTAGAGGATTTGTGTCAAATGATGAAACACCGAGTAACATAATCATTATTTGCAGAAATCGGTAAAAATTGAAAAACTCCAGATTGGGATGGAAATTGATTAAAAATTTGATTGCGAATTCAACGAGGTATGAGATTGTAATTTTTGGTAGTTTTTTCCATTGTTATGTCCACAGAACTACATGTTTTGGGAATTTTTGGTTGTAATTTGGCTAAATGGGGCCCCAAAAGTGAATAAATGACTGTATTATGCATCTGATGATCTAAACTAACCATACTGACAACTTTCCGGCTGATAAAAAAAATTTAATTTTTCTCAAATTTTTGCATTTTTCATAAGGGGTAACACTATATATTTTTCAAAATTTGAAAAAAAAAAATAAAAAATTCCAGGTTTGAATGCAAATCGATTGGAAACTCGAATACGAGTTCAACAAGGTATGCCACTTCATTTTAGGCCCATTATTCGAATTGTTTTGACCAAAATACTGATTTTTCAAACGAAAAAAACAGTACTTTGGGTACGGAGTCTTTTTAAGATTTATTAATTCACTTCAAAATCGTATTTCATATCCAACAACTTCACGTTTATTTATGAATACAATGAACATTTTACACCGTAATAAAGTTCTTTCTCTCCAAAAAACAATGTGGTAGAGTCCTTAAACATTTGTTATCATATAATGTTTTGGTGTAATGCTTTCTTCTACATGTAGAATACATTATTCATAAAGTAATATATATGTTTGTATATAGATCCGCATTATGAACGCCCCACAAAACTTAGCCCGACATCAAATCGAAAGAATCATATGCAGTTGTGCCAGAATTGTATGTGGATGTGGAAAAGTTACAAGCAATTAGATTAATATAGAAATGAGGGTAATAGTAATTAAAGAGAATACATGTCCTTAAATCTATAACTATGCGCATAGATTGTAGTTTGAAACTTGGTTTCGTGTAAAAAAAAAACTAAATTTAGGCATGCCAAGCACTTCATCGTTACGTCAGCTGTCGATAGAGAACTATACAAGAAGAAGGTATACGGGTAAAATGGGGAATTAAATCAAATCAAATTGTACTTCATTGTTTGGCTAAATAAATATCGGTAGTCAATGTCAATGGGGTAAAATATAAAGGAAACTATTCAATCCTCGCCATCGGCTTCAAATTGCCAGCGAATAAATAAACTTAGGCTTACGGATCCTATGCAAGTTTCATCCAACTTTTCAAACTTAATGCAATATTGCAACTATCGTATATATGAGTACATATCTTAAAGTAAACAGAGTTGTATAACATCTTCATAATGCTTTTCGCTTGCCGCTCGGTAGCTCCGGTTTAGAAATATCATATAAAGTAAACTTTAGGCTTATGGCTATAGTGCGTTTGTGTATGTTCTTGTTTCGGTTTCGTTTTCATTTTCGGTTTCCATTTCTGTTTGTGTCTATGCTGCTCCGTACGAATCATAATATCGCATCTAATTCTTGGGCGAAACAGTGATGAGTTTGTGTGGCGTCACGGGGGATATCTGTAATGTGATAATTTTGTTCAATAAATAAGAGTTCCTTCAGAGATTTTAAGGCTTTCTTAACTCACCCATAGGGACCGGCCCATATATGAATCATCGTCATCTTCGATTAGTCCCCTTGTGTGATGGTGACTCTGCTGGTCGATGAACAGCAGGGTGTCCTTGCTGCAAGTGTTCGCCGACTTGCGCAGCAGCGATGACAGGGTCTCCGTGTAGTTGGAACTGGTGGAGAAGGAGTGGCGCAAGTTTAGACTGGCCGCCGCCGCCGCCTGTTGCGATGCACTCTCTACCGCCGACACGCTGCTCCTGGATCCATGCCAGTTGTGGTTGTGCAGCACCTGTCGGGATAGCTGCAAGCTGGAGGAGAGCTGGGGCGTATTGCCATTGCCATTAAACAGAGGCGGAGCGGCACTCGTGTGGCCGTTGAACTTGCTCTGCAGAGTGGACGCCGCCGTCACTGAGGCGCTCAGTGATCTCGGCGAGGATCGCGACGAGAGCGAGCTTTCCGAGGATGAGGAGCTAGATGGGGAGCTCACATGACCATTGGTCTTGGCCTCGGGCTCGGCGGTTGGTTCGCTAGCTAGTGGGGCTTCGCAGATGTCGGCTTCTTTCATAGCAGGCTCATTTTGTGTTTCCTCCACAAGGTCGGCGCAATCTTCATCCATGGCAAATATGGGCGTGGCTTCCTCTACATCCATCTTCTCGGGTTCATCTTTCGCTGCTGGAGTTGCCTGCGTCTTGCTACTCTCACTTAAACTTGAATCCACATCAGCATCGGCAAAAGCCAAGCTCTGCTGAAGAACTGCTTCAATGTCGTGCTCTTTTGTGGCTGATGGCTCCATCTGAACATCAGCTGTGATTTCTTCGGTAACTAAAAAAGGTGTTTAAGGTTTAACATTTATTCTACAGCATTCACTAAATTAGACTTACCCTCTTCCCTTTCTTGGCAAATTTTGGGTATGTCCACTGGCTTGGATTGAGCCTTCTCGGCCACTGCTGCCGCCGGAGTTTCGGTCGTCTCACTGGTGCCCTCCAACTTGACCGGGTCCTTATCCTTTCCACAAGTCGAGGAGGCGGAGGATGAGGGCGCCGGGGCGATGCGCGATACCCAGTGATCGCCGGAATTCGAGCTGGATCCGGAGCACTCGCCGACGTCCACACTGCGTCGCTGGTAGAACAGCATGTAGGCCTCGTTATTGATGATGTCCTGCTCAATGTCGTCCTCGGGCACCTTGCTCACGCGCTGGTCATCAAACTTGTACCACTGGCGGTCGTACGGGTTCTTGCAGGCGGCCGTGTAGTGACCGGTCTCCAGGGTGTCACCCTGGTGGTAGCACACGGCGTACAGGTCGTAGCGCGTGTCCTTTGGATCGCAGCGCGAGTTGAGCGTGGAGGAGCGCGAATCGCCGGAGCGGGCCCGCTTCCAGGGATTCGAGCCCAGGCCGAGTCCAAGCCCCATCCCCATTCCAGTGCCCATTCCCAGGGAGCTGCTGGCGCTCTCGTGGACGCCGCGTGCCAGGTGCGGCGACATGTCGAAGGCGGTGAGCGGAAACTTGACCATGGTGGTCAGCTTGGCCGCTTGCGGACCCTTCGACTGGTGCTGGCGGAAGCGCTTGAAGTGCACCACCAGGATGTCGGGCAGCGACCACAGACCCAGCGTCTTCACCACGGGCAGGTACTGCTGGCAGTGTGGACAGCGCCAGGCGTCCTCCGCACTCAGCGTCTCCGCCTTGGTGTAGTGTTCCAGGCACTGCTCCAGGGTCAGGGAGGCGGTGTCGCTCGGCTTGCTGGCACTAAGCCGCGCCACGCTCTCGTGCTCCACAACGGCCTCCTCCGAATCCTGCTGTTTGCTAAGGAAGTGATCCTCAGGTGAGCCCCACTCCAGCAGGAGCTTGATGTGCTGTGGTCCGGCCTCGGAGGAGAGCACGGAGAGCGCCATGTCGATCATCTCGGTGAGCAGCGGGTGCTCAACCTGCTCCAAATAAGTATCCGGGTCGGCGGAGGGGTCTTGCAGCCGAATGCGGAACATCTCGGCAAGTGGCGTGGCATAGGAGAAGACCTCCGGCTTGAGCAGTGGCGCCATCTCGCGCAGCATCCTTTTCTGCAGATCCTGGTAGGAGCAATCGCGTGGTGCCTTCATGCTGAAGGGCGCTCCAAAGCGGGTTATGTCCTTGCCATCCTTCGCTCGGTACACGTTGGCCACTAAGAGCAGCAGGTCGGCCTGCGATTGAGCTGCTGCAGGAGCAGTAGCAGCAGCAGCCGCTTGAGCACCTGCCGCAGGAGCGGGCTTAACCGCCGTCTCCAGCGGAGTAGCAGCCTTGGGAACAGGCGTCGCCTCCGGCACCTCGATGCAGTAGATGGTCTCAATGCTGGCCAAAGTCTCCACCGGCTGTGTATCGTAGAATACCCGCGAGAATCCCTCGGCGTTCAAGTCCACCAGCACCATGCGCGATCCCTCAATTCCCGTGTCCGTCTGCAACTGCTCCCGGAGGGCCACAATCGGCGAGCCGGCTGGAACGCGCAGTCCCATCCGCACCTGCCGCGGCAACTGCTTCATGTAGACCACCGTGACAAAGATCGTCTGCTGGGTAAGCTGCGGCAGCTGCACGGAAATGCAGTGGAAGGGGTCGAAGGTGTTGGACTGCTTCTCGCAGCGCGGGCAGGTGAGCGAGGAGCGGAACTGGGCCTGGAACACGGCCTGGACAAAGCTGTTGTTGCACCGGATGTGGTTGGCCAGCGTCTCGGCGGCGATCACCTCGTCCGAGCGGCCGTACGAGTTCTGCGCGGGGGGACAATGGAAAGAAAGCGTTAGTCGCGTCATCCCAGGAAGCGGTAGCCGCCAACTTGAGTTTGTCCCCACCTTGAGGCTCTTGTAGCGCCGTTTGCTGGCCGTGTTCAGGTCCTCGTGCACCTTGTCCAGCAGCCAGAAGAGGAACTCCTGCGCGTCGTGCTGCGTGGAGCTGCGGAACTGCGTCCCGTACCGATCCACCACTGCCTTGAAGCTGGTGCTGTGGTCGCTCTCGTTCTTGCAGGTCCACAGCGCCTTCAGCACGTTGGCCAGCTGCTCGGTGAGCTCACCCTTGGTGCCGAACTTGCGCGAGTTGATCTTGTTCCGCCGCTTGAGGTCAGCCTGTATTCGGGGAAGAGAAAGTTCGAAGATTAGGAGTACTCTCTGCTAAAAGAGCTTACACTTACCTTGTACTGATCCAGCACAAAGTACTCGGCCAGGATATCCGTGTGACTGAGGCACTGCAGCACTGCGTTCATGAAGCACGTGTTGCCGTGGTTCTTCAGCCCCATCACGCCCGGAGTCTGGTCCGCCGGCCACTGGTAGCCTCCGATGGGCGGCACTCGCTCCGCGCCGCCAGGTCCTCCTCCTCCTCCCGAGTTCGCCGAGGATCCCACTGCCGATGGCTGACCATGTTTGTTCGCCTGGGGAGAGGAAAAAGCAGTGTTAGTCGCTGGGGAGTACAAATTGCAGGCTGGCCAGCAATGAAAACCCGTTTCCAGATCACACTGGAGTGCAGTGGAGTGGACCAGGGGCCAATTGGCGATTGGGTTTCAATTTCGTTGCCAATTAAAAATTGTTTAGCGCTGCGCGCCGACATCAATTTGCGATAAATGAAGAAATATTTAGAAAACAAGGCGAAAAAAGAAAGGCCTGTCAGCCACAAACGAATAAGTAAATACGCTTCAATAAAACTAAATCATCACTTGGCGGATATTTACGACAAGTCAAAGGCTTCAGCCAATTGGCTCTACTATTATGAATGTATTTAGTGAACCAATTAGGAGTACATGTTTAATGCGATCTAAGGAGATGGGTAAACCTAGAAGGGTGTGTGTGTATTTAAGCTCAATCGTCTGGAAAATTTCGGTGTTAATCACCAAAGAAATCGAAATTGCTTTAATAGGATGGAGGAGGTGTGTCTGGGTGAATCTGTAGAACTGAAAAACTTTCCATAAAACAACATAAAAGCCAAGAACTGGGGTAATCTTCACGATGCGAAACCAAACCGAATAGTAATGAAAACCGATACAGTGGAGCCTCGGCCTCTCGATGGATAATCTCTAGCGTTTAATTAGGTGTTCGCTAGTGGCAAGCTCTTTTTCTGTTTGTGCAACTGGAGCAACACCTCTCAAAGGGGCCGAATATGAATTTACGATATTATAAACAAGCTCTCGAAACGCAACGAAAACAAACGGAATGAATTGTGGCTGAGTTTGAGGCTGTTTCCCAGTGGCATTTCCGATGTGGCCGAGTGCCTTTAACGGCTTCTGCGGCGTTCAGCAATGAAATTTTGTGGATTATGAAATTGGCAGTCGCTCGAGGGAATGGGGTGTCCACGTCGAGGTCACTCGGCTGTTGCGGGGTCAATGCTAAGTGGGTTTATTTTCTGCTTTTCCGATTTCCCGGGGAAATGCAAGACCCGGCCGGTGACGAAAGCAGACAGCTTTTAGCCGGACAAAAGATGAGTAAGACTGGTAACGTCATCGTTCAAAGCCAGACGAGATTTACGAGTGTGTGTTGTACAAAAATATCAAACAAAAAGCCAGCGGATAATGGATTCAATAGAGATTCAACAACAACAAAAAATAAAACAGCGACCCAAAGAAGCGCAAATCGAAACACAAAAACCCGTTTTGAAAAAGCGAAAACCCACGCAAAACTAAGAGTGGCAAAGAAATCGGCGGCCAATGGTAAATTGGCCAAAAGGAAATAAATCTCTGTGTGGGATGGGCGTTGGTGTAGTGTAGGGCTGGTGATCATGACATTACCAGCAGGCTATGCTATGCTATTCCATACCATAACCCACTGATTAGATTGGTACCTCTTTTCTGCGCCAGCATCCGGTGTAGAATGGCACGATTTCAATGAAGGCGATGCGATTCGCTGGCGAGTGGTGCTCCTCCGACTTGAAGATGCCGCATTTCCGGGGGCAGGAGAAACAGGGGAGTATGGTTAGAGGTTGACAGTTAGCACAGATATTCCGCCACATCATGCAGCAGGAAAGTTCCCAAGACATTAGCCGGGATTTCGTTGTCTCATTCGCTTAAGCTCACTGACACCATTGGGCCAACCCACCCCACCATCCACCATCTTTGAATAATTGTTGCTTTTGTTGGCAAATTGACATTGAACTGACGTTGACTGCATCGAACTAATGCCATTTGTATGGTGTACTCGAATTCGGCGGGCGGGGGAGTGACCACATTGAATGGCGGCCAAGTGGCTGCTCGAGTGCCTTCCCCGGACAAAAGAAAGATGCCCTGCAAAGGGCACGAACCGGGGCCAACTTCAAGAGTGGCCACGCCCAGGGCTTTAAGCTTAAAGACCCGCCCCTTGGGATCCCCCGGCACTAAGCCGATTTTCTTAATAATTAGTGGTGCCGCGCTGAGCTGAAAGGGTTCCGAATTTAAGCTCAGCTCAGCTCATTAGACAAACCCAATTAAAATGGCCGGCAGTGATGTAAACCGAGCCAACGGGGTCCACGATTCCGCGGTTGGGACAGGGCCCCAAATGGATAAATTGAGTGGAATGTCTGCCCCCAAACGCATGTCCAGGTCTCTTCTATATACATATATACCTATATATCTCATTCCCGCATGTATTTTCGCTGACCTAATCGCGGTGGCCATTTCTCACACAGCTGGAGATGCAGAGCAGCAGACTTCGAGACGTTGCGCATACGCCGCGTTCGCCCGGCTTCCATTTTTATACACTGGATGGCTGGTTAATTGAGCCAGAAACGCGGAGGCATAGAATAAAAGTAGCCACTGGCCACTGGCCACTTGTCTCAATTTGCGCCGGCAATTTTATCATCATCGTCATTATTATTTATAAATTTAAGCAAATTTCTCTCGTTTTGTTTGCCGAGCAGCCAAGTGGCCCCAAATGTTTTTCTTCATATATCAAGTGTCGACCGCCTCCAGTTGCTCCCCAGTCCATCAGCCCATAACTTTGTTTACATTTGCGTATTCCGTTTAACTTGATGTATCGAATTATTATGCCCGCGTCTCGAATTCTTGCTGCTTTTTTAGTTCGTTTTTTGTTTTATTTTTTATTTTTCTTTTTCTTGTTGCTTTTTTTGCCGTTTCAGGCAGCAAAAATTCCATTCCGCCAGAGCAAATGTGTGTTTATGTGGCCGGAGCTCTTCTGATAAGACAGAGGGGAGCGGGACAGAGGGGAGAAGAAGGGGGACAGAGCCAGATAACTTATAAATATTGCACTGCACTCAAGTATTTGTCTTGCCTTTACGTAAGCCACAACAACAAACCGCTCCAGATGCAGATATATATCTGTTTGCTGTGCAGTTACGTTTGCGTTTTTATTAAATAATTGTAAATAATTGAAGATAATTGCTGTTGATGTGGCTGCTGCCACGAGGTTGTTATTACCTACGAGATCTTGGCCAGAGCATGAATGAAATTGGCTTTTGGGCTGGGCCGGAATCCGCAGAGAGCGGAATCTCGGCGAGATCGAGAGCGATCGTAGAGCCGCCGAGCCGAGTTCTCCTACCGGTTGGACGGCATTTATTAATGGAACGCTCGAGCAGACTATTATTAGAGCCCAGTGGCTGCCCCGATTATACTATAGGTCCCCCTGCTTTATCGCCACCCATCCGTCAATCGGCTAATCGCGAAATCGCATTCGAGTTTTGGCTCTGCTCTAAACGAACTCATCGAACCCCGCAAACGATCACGTGACACCGCCAATGGGAAGCAATAATGTGTGGCCAATGTATAACGTCACCATAATCACTATTAGTAAAACATTTCCCCGTCTGCGATTTCGGATTCGCCAGATAGGGGTCTTGAAATAGCATTTATCGTTTTACCGCCTCCGCCAGAACGTAATCCCCAGTCTAGCAGGCCGCATCCAAACCCTCCTTTTTACCACCCTGCAAACTAATTAGATCCCGTATATTATGCAAGTTGCCAGCACCACGCCCATTTCGATTACGTGGAGGAGAACGCGAAGCTCTGTCAAGGTTGTGCCCACAAAGGGGCTCTAATCAGGCCACCTTGCAAACACGTCGCTTATCAGATACGCGTGCTCAGGGGCCCCATATCTACATATACAGTGCGCGATATAAGTATGGTACTCTCTGGGTCAGGAGTTCTCGAAATGATAAATATAAAGTGATACCCTGGAGACAAGAGACAGAATAACTGATGAAGCTAAACCAAATCTAGATGATTTATATCAGCACCTATTTAATGAGCGAGTGTACAGGTCACTTGGGTTGATAGCTACTTCATAAACGACATTATTTAATGGCACTTATTCAACTTGGTGTCATGATCGTTTAGTGATTAAGTAAAGTACGCAACTGATGTATTTTATAAACTCAAGTGCTTCGATGAATCAGTTTAAGGAACCACTGAACCCAGTTACTCGTAATTTATTCCATAATTAAACATTTATTATTGCTTATTCGCTGGTATCTACGGTTTCAGGTTTTTCGACTTGATTATCTGCTGAATTTGCACCCATTTTTTTTCTGCTAAACTTGTGATCGGCACTGTCTACTATTACGAGGCAGCCCCTATGACTTCTGTCAACTATAACTGATATCTGACGTTCGGTTTGGACCGACTATTTTGCGTAGCTTTTTCGGGCAAGGGCAAATCGCTTGACAGCAGACGACCGGCGATAAATTTCCACTTTTCACTCGCCGGACCTGCTGTCGCATATGTATAGTACATAGTTCATAATGGTATATTACGGAAGGGGAGGCCCAGTTTTTGGGCTCTTTATGCGACTTTATAGCCATACATATATCATGGTGGGGCCACCTGAGTGGTGCGTAATTAACTCCGAATGACGTGGTTAATTTCTCGTCGCCGTCTGGGAATTAAGTAAACAGAAAAGAGTAACGGCCAATTAGACAGCCTAAGCGCTAAAAACATAATTCTTCATTCCCTAGCAATACAATGTGTATACTACTAAGTGACTAGAAGCTATTGAGCAAAAAAAAAAACATGACATGTTAATTTTAAAATGATTGTTTATGAAAATAAACGTGCCGGGCCATGGAAGTACAAAAATAAATGCAAAGGCTAAAAATTCTAAAAACATTTTTTCAATTAGTTTGATCTCAATTGATTTTACCTTGAAAGCGAATTCACTCAGAAAGCGAGAGAGGGAGAAAGAGAGAGAGAGAGAGGGAAAGAGAAAGAGGGAGAAAGGGGGAAAAGCGGGACGGGAAAACGTGCGAGGCAACCCCAGCGAAAGCAACAACAACTGTAGCACTAGGAATCGCACTACGAACACAAACAACTACGAGTATAGACAATAATTCGCACAGTTGTACAACAGCAAAAGTTACGTGTGAGCCACTGGGCGGAAATACGAAATACAAAGAGTAGGAATACGCGAACCCCCCTCACCTGTCCCCCCGCCCTGTCATACATGGCGTTCTCCCCTACCCTCCCCTTCCCCCCTCCATTCGTGCACTTGAAATATCATAGAAAATCAGCAAATAGTAGCGGACAAACAGAGGCGGCCGCGGTATTAGCAGAGAGGGGGTCTAGAGGGGGGTGGGTGGTAAGGTAGGCACTCGCGTTACGTACTAATCTTGCCATCAACAAGTGCAACAACAACAACATGAGACACGGTTTTGTGGGTGGCTAATACTAAAGCTTACGGAAATAGACAAAACTGTTGCAGGCACAGAGAGAAAAGTGAACCTAATATAAAATGTTCATTACTACTAAAGATATTTATCTTTTTGATACAGTATTTGTTAGATTTAATATTACATCATTAGGTATTTAATATTCAACAGCACTAATTATGGCCTAAACATATATTAGAAGCCATAAAACCTTTAGTTTTAAAATATAAGTATTATATTTTATGACCTTGAAATATGAAGAAACTTAAGTTTAAGTATATAAGTTTGAAATCAAGAGTGTGAACTAGATTAGTATATTTTCCCTTGTGTATTTGCTTGCATGTGCGCCTTCTGCCTCACGTGTTGTTTTTGGCGGACTTGTTGTTGCTTAGATCGTCACACAGAGTGTCACTTCTGACTTTTATTCCACCGCCTTGCCACCCAAAACCCCCCTCCCTCCCTCCCCACTCCACTCATTGGCATTTGCAATTTTTGGCATGCAATCTTTAATAAGCCATATTATTGCTGGTGTTGTTGGCTGCCGTTTTCCGCAGTTTTCTCGCAGTTCTCGCAGCATTGCGATTTCGTTTTTCGTTTTTCATTTCACATTTTGCTTTTCCGCCTTTTGCACAGCTCTTTTTGTTTTTCTGCATCTATTCAAACTCAGCTTCTGAATAAAATCAATGCGAAATGCGCGAAACGAGATGCAAAGTGCCAGCGGCATGAATCATAAATCAAGGCAATTGTTTACAATGCGGTAATCGCCCAACAACCACACTCAACAATGGTCAATTGCCACATAATGTCATTAAGAAAATACTCACAAATAAAGGCAGCAGTAATAATAAGTACTTGTTGCTCAGCTTAACGAATGTTTCGCCTTTTTCGTGTCTTTTGTTGGTGAAAGGTGCCAAAAGACAAAAGGTAAAAGACCGTGGTCTACTGAAATACAACTACAACTGCACCTGGCAAAAGTCTGTACACCAATAACGGTACAGTTAAAGCTTGCAGCAGGCAAATCGGTTGAGCTTTTCCAGAGCCGTAACGTAAGTGCAGCTTCCCCGTTTTCACTGTCTCACTGTCTTTTTCCTATCACAAAAACGGCTGTGGCTATAATGGCAACAGCAACAACGGCACAAACTATAGATACTGTAGTTTTCATTGAGCTTTACGTGCTCCACCCCCACTCGACCCCCTCCCCTCTCCACCCCTCTCGAAAACTCCCCCACTTTACTACTCATTGCCGCCTCACTTTGAATGAAATTAAGTCTGTTTTCGTATGCGGCTATCGTTCTGGAATTCAAAGCGCCAAAAGGTCAGCTGCACTACGTCAGTAAGGTCTTGCCCTCTACAATTAATCAAACTTTTACAGCACAACAACTATAGATCCACAGTAGAGCCTCTATTGATCGATCTTTATAGATTTTTGTTGCGATTTTCTGTCTTTTCTTTTACAAAGAGTTTTGGCTTATACTACAACTAGTTTTTACATATATTTGTAAACAAAAAACAAAGAAATCAAAGCATAGGTTTACGGCAGTCCTTCTTAACACTAAACTAAACTGGAAATTGTGAACTTTATACAGAAATATTTAAAACGGTTTCTAAAATCTGTCGAAAGTGGATTAGTACCCCAAAAATATTATAAAAAGTAAATAGTAGTCGATGGAAAAGTTTACATTTTGACTTGCCAGTCAAAAATAAATATTTTTGTATCAGCGTTGTTATTTGAGTTGATCATAAAGTGGCCAAAAATTCGAGACACTGAAGTTCTACTGTTTATAAATTGATACGCACACACTGGAGCCCAATGTAAGTATTATTAGATCAAATTAAATTCCAGAAGCCACGAGCTGCTGGTGCTATCGCTTTCCAGAGAGGAGTGGGCATAGGAATGGGAATGGGAATGGGATCGCCTGGAGGCTACCGGGGTGTGTCATTGCGCCCTGCACTTGTCTTCGGCTCCTCAGTTGTCGCTTTCCCCACGTTGTTGTGCTGTCTTCTCTGACAAAAGCGTGGCACACATTTGTCGACTTGCGCCTCCTTGTCGGGAGTTGGACTCCCCCGTTCTCCAGTTCCCCAGATGCCCAATTCCCCAGAGTAGCCCAGAGCTGCCAAGAGCTCCCCAGAGTTCCCGATCCCCGACTAACCCCAGTCCATCATTAACTGCTGTCTCGCTCCAGCAGCGCACGACCTGAAAAACTCTTGTTTTCGGACTCTGTCTCTGTGTGTGTTTGCCTGTTTGTTTGTTTGTTTATTATAGCGCGAACGGAGCAACAAATGTTGGCAACATTTACACAAAATTGTTTGAACAATTGCTGTCTGCGAAACAAAAGGCGCCCACCTACACCTAGTTACAGACCCCTCCAAACACCCCCATCCACTCAAAAGCACAACAAAAATTATGATAATAATGAGACAGCAATTGTTTAAAAATAAAATTAATTTCCATGCCCCGTCCGCGCGTATGGTAATCGTAAATTGCCGCTGAAGAGCGTAGAACATTTGAGATACACTTCAAAAAAGCGGAATACCGATGTATTTATAGTTGTGTAAACAAAGGCTTTTTATCCGGCGCAGAATGGAATGTGTGAACAAAGACGGGGGCCACCGTATATGTTGATTACCATACCGAAACTCCCTGAAGGAAGGCCAGCCAAAGTCCCAATAAGCCGCTTTTCGGACTGATACGACTGATACAATATATGTACCTTATACGACTCCCTTATCATCGGTCACGCAAAATGTGACTCAGCACGGGGAGCAAAACAAAAAGCGCTGGGAAAGCGAAAACCGAAACGTGGCAAAGGGCGATTCGTGCCCATTCGCTGTACTCCATTTCCATATAGTATAAATATATAGTGCCAAATCGGAGGCAGACTCAGATGTAGATGAAGATGCAGGGGCAGAGGCAGGGGCAGATGCCATGTGTCCATGTGGAGACAAAGAGCAAAGAGCAGCCGCAGACATGAGCAAAACAAAGCGGCCGATAACGGACTATTCGATGCCTTTCATGAGTATACGGCTCCTGATAAGGGGCATAATGGAACATGGGGATACATCACTACGAAGTATGTGGGATACATCATGTAGTTAGAACTATGGAATACCGAAATCAAGACACAGAGAAGAACGGAGCTAGAAGCTGCACTCTAAACAAAGAACATAAAGAAAGGTATACTAGAAGTGTTTAGACTACGTTAATGCGTGCTCTTTAATCGCAAATAAACAATTGTAAATGACAAATCTAAGTGTTACATTTCCTGTTTGCAAGTAATATAGACACAATGACTATTGCCTTTTCTAAACTGAATTACACTCCCTGAAAAGTAAACACTTCTTATTGAAGCCTTTCGTAAGAATCGTTTCAAAGAATCGTAGTCTGATTATTAAATTTTATTTGTTCTTTCCAGTTCCTTATAAAAACCATCTCTATATTTTTTGAACATTTAAATCATAAATAATAAGGGTATGTAATAATTTTAGATGACTCATTTACTGTAGTTACTGTAGTTATTGTGTGAAAAATCTATTTGGTTAACACTTTTGGTGTTTATTGATTCACTATATTAATTTAGTTTCTATACTTCCCTATTTGCAAGGCATTGTGAATCAGAGTTGGAGGTTATTAGATCACAAAGAACCATATTTTAAGATATATGTTCGCATTTAAAAATCATTTCATTAAAAAAACAGCCAGCTTCAGAGGATGTTTTCATTACTTGACAATTACAAAAATAGCTTAAAATGTATTATTTTATTTCAAAAATAACAATGGAAATTAATCATCGGCAGGGATGATGAAGTATTTTAAAAATTATCAGTGATTTCTGATGAATGAATGGTATGCAATTTGCGAATAACAAACATCATAACAAGTATTTATATTTGATCAAAATGATTCACACATTCCTAGCTGTATATAGATTTATTTAGTTATTTTTGTAAGCTAAATCAAACAAATATGTAACTTATTGTGATTCACTATTATTTTTAAAGACACAAAATGTTCTGTCTATTTTAGTTACATTTTAGACCGGAGATTTTATAGACAAACTAACGCATAAACGTAGTAAGGTGCTGCCAAAAATATCTGGTGAGCTATACTATAAAATCCGTTATATACTACATATTCTTGTAAGATTTCTAAAACTTACCACGACATTTACCGTTGAGCTCAGATGCTGGGCGATCCTGTTAAGAAATTTCCTGAAGGACGAACGGCGAAGAGGACGTGACCGCTTGTTGTTGTTGTTGTTGTTACTACTGTTGCTGTTGTTATTGTTGTTTCCATTGCTGGCGGTGGTGTTGGTATTGGTATTATTGTTGGCCATATTGTTGTTGTTGGTCGAAATGGGAGCCTCGTAGCTGCTGAGCGACACAATGCTGCCGCTCCTGCCCCGCCCACCGCCCACGCAGGACGAAATGGCCGTGTGGCTGCCACGCCGCTCTCCTATACCGTTATCCTTGCCGCTTCCGTTTTCCGCTCCCGATGTGGAAACTGCTGCCGTTTTGAATTTACGCGACCAACGGAAGGGATTGCGTGGCATGGAGAAGGCGCGGCGAATCTTTTTGGCGGCATTCGTCGTGGTTGCTGTTGCCGCTGTTGTTGCTGTTGTTGCTGTTGTTGTAGCTGCCGTAGTAGTAGCCGTTGTTGTTGTTGTTGCTGTTGAGTGGGTGGTGGCGGCGTCGCCCTCGCTCTGCTCTCTTCGCTCCTTTGTTGTGCCCATGTTGGTCTCGCTCTCGCTGTCTCGCTCTGGCACACTGAACACACCGATTTCGATTTCGGTCACATAAATATGTATTTAACGTATGAATTGCACGGACGTAGGACGTACTGTACTACTTAATTAATCTAACTAACGCGAATTGACCTTTTAGCAGTGATATTTGCGGCCCCGTTAATGCACCGTTTTTTTCTGATTTTCGCTTCGCTTCGTTCTTTTTTTTTTGTGTCTGCCTCTTTCTGCGCCGCTGCTTCTTCTTGCTCGCTGACCCACTCCGCGACTATTTGGTCGCTTTTCGTATGCAAATACTTTCACTTTTCGGCGGCGTTGGCTGCAGCCAATTTGCTCGATGGTCGCGCGTTCGAACCGTTTTTTATTTTGGGGCCGCGAATGGGGCGATAGTATTATTAACCGAAACAAGAGTGTGCACGTTTTCGGCTATTCCAAAAATACCTACGAAATATGGAGTGAGACCGTGCTTTGGCTTTTCTAAAACTACCACGAAATATCGATAGCTATCGATGATGCAGCCCTGGATTGGTGGGTAACTCGGATAATGGATGCGGTGGCAGCTCAGGTGGCATCGGGATTTGAATTTCGAAATGGTGGCAGCATCGAATAACCGCCAAACCGTTAACTTTGAAAATCCGAAGTTAAAGTTTTATAAATAGTAAAATGCAGTTAATGGTTTTTTTATAGCAAAAATATTTATCAAAACTAAGAGATACACATTTAGCTTTACAGTCTTTTTTTGATTGACTTGCTTAGTTAAAAAATGGTTTACCTTGCTGAGATTAAACGTATATATTTTCTTATGAATATCCTTGGCGCGCAGTTAAAATAAAAAACCAATTCATTTGATTCAAGGAAGAATATTTATTCCACGCTCTGTGCAATACACTTATATAAATACATATACATTGAATACAAAATATCTCTGCTCCTCTCTCTGAGTGTGTGTGTAAAACATGTTGCAAAATTTGTCGGGTTAGCACAAAGATTCGTAAGTATATTAATTATGCCGTTAGTTACATAAACAAAGTTTAAATGCGTTCGATTTCAGTTTTTGAAGTATTCGATCGTTCAAGATTGGGGTTTTTTTTTGTTCATTTTTGGTTTTTATTTTTGTATTTTTTTGAAGAGTAATTGTGTGATTTTTATTGGTTTTCTTTTGGGTTCTTTTTTAGCCAGCATGCACAGACTGAAATGAAGAGAAAGGAAACGTAAAGTGAATCAAACTCAGGGAAGCAAGATCGCAAATCAAGGCTCAAATCAAACAAAGGAAGCAAACTAATTCCGCGTCCTCTTGTCTACCAAGTCTTTTGATTGCCATTTGTTTTGGTTTCGTTTCGTTCGGGTCGTCTTCCTTCTGCGCGACGAGCCTCGAAGTTAGATAAATTCAGAATTGGAACGTACCCGAGCAATGTCCACGCCGGTTATGTTCTTGACCAGCTCTGGCACCTTGTTCACGATCGACAGGACCTCGCCGGTCAGCTTGGCGGCACCGATCTCCCCGTTTCCGCTGGACACCATCGTGATCTTCTTGGCCTGCGACAACGGAGCAGCCACCTCGGCGGCCACCTGCGAAAAATAAGTGCAAATAGATTTAATAAGCAATACTATATTTCTAAATCAAACACTTCAAATAAATGCCTTTTGCTATCTAAAATTTGTATAATTTTACTAATATACGTTTGCTTTCAGTGAATATTATACTACAAGTAATAAATATCAATTTATCAATATAAAAGATACATTGGCAATTATGCTAACTGAATGTTTTTGAACTAGTTTAATGTTTTATATCTGTGATATTTAATATTGTAGTCATTTAATTAATCAAATACAAATTCCCATTGATAACGTATCGAGATATCAAGTTAAACCTCATACCAAATGGCAAAATGGGCCACTAAATAACAAATTTTAATTTAAAATTAAATGTTTTAAGAACCCTTACTAGAGACTCCTGGGCTTTCAAAGCCCCCATCATCGAACTCACCTTGGGCAGCGTGTCCAGGAGCATCTCCACCATGGCAGCCTCGCGGTACTCGCGGTAGGCCTCCGCCTTCTGGGCCATCTGCTCGGCCTCCGCCTTAGCCTTGGCCGAAATGGCGAAAGCCTCGGCCTCGCCACGGATCTTGATCTGTAACGGAGGAAGGAGCAGCTTTAGTTAAATCTTGTTTCAGTACAATCATTTATAGGGTCTCTAACCGATTCAGCCTCCGCCTCGGCCTCCATGACCACGCGCTGCTTGTTGGCCTCGGCCAGCTTCTCCATGCGGAACTTCTCGGCCTCGGCCGGACGGCGTATGGTGGCCTCCAGCTCCCGCTCGCGACGCATGATCTCCTGCTCCTGCACGGCGATCTCCTGGGTGCGCTCGATCACCTTGACCTGCATCTGCTCCTCCTTGATGCGCTGCTTGGTCTTGGCGGCCTGCAGCTCGTAGGCCATCTCGGCCTCGGCCTTCTTGGTCTGCACCTCCACGTCGTAGGCGGCCTTCTTCAGCTCGAAGTCGCGCTGGGCCTTGGCGATGTCGGTGTCGTTCAAGAACCTGGCAGCCATGCGCTGCTCCTCGGCTATGGCCTCCTTAATGTGCGCCTCGGCACGGGCCTCCGCCTCGCCAATCCTTGCATCCCGCTTCACCTCCGCCGTGCGAGCCATGCCCAGCGACCTAAGGTAGCCCTGTAAAAGGAAATCGAGAGCGGGGAGTCAGTATCCCGTTTATCTCAAAAGGAGCAGGAGTTGGGCCACGGATCCCAACGATTCCACACACACACAGGCCGTTGAGCGGTCATACGCACCTTTGAGTCGCCCTACAATGGATCCATGTGGACATGCAAGAAATATATATATATACACATATATACAAGAGGTTAATAGGGATAAAAAGGGGCTAAAAGCCAGTACACAGTGATGGGAAATTTGAGTATGCAATACTTTGCTAGTGTGTAGGTTGTATTAAGCTAGAGCATTCGCTTGCCTCTTTGACAAATTAAAATATAATTTAAATGATCTATGTTTTCTATTAAAAGTAGATTTTAAGAAATGTGTCAAAAGTTATGCTCTTTGAATGTGCTACAAATTTTGATCACTGATTCATTTACTGGTAAAGCTTATTCAAGCTTAATCCGTTTCTCACTTTAGAAATAAAAGGAGTTAAATATTAGCTCTTAAGCTAAATGTTTTAACAAAAAAATCATATCAATCATATATTTTGTTCCCATCACTGCTGATGATTGGGTTAGTAGTGCAGGGGTTTGGAGCATTAGCAATTGGCAGCAACTACGCACCTCCTCATCGCGCAAATCCTTGATGGTGTAGGAGACGACAGTAATCCCCATGTTGGCCAGATCGCTGGAGGCCACCTCGAACACCTGCTTGCTGAACTTCTTGCGGTCCTTGTAGATCTCCTCCACGGTCATCGATCCCATAATGGCCCGCTGATGTCCCTCCAGGGTGACCAAGGCAATGTGGTTGATCTCCGCCTCCGATTTCCCCAAAAACTGCTCACAGGCAGTGAGCAGCATGTCCTCGTTCTGTCCCTGGACCTTCACCTGGGCAATTCCCGTCACGGAGATCGGAACTCCTTGGCTGGTGTACACGCAAGGACTCTCAACCTGGAGAGTCATGGTGTTCAGCGAAATTCTGTGGGATATTTGCAAAAAATTAAACTTATGATCCAAGAAACAGGGATTCAAACGTTATTAGCCATGTAAAATATTTATAGCTGAGATATTAAATAAGCAGAGATAATTTAATATTATTTTGCAAGTTTTAGTTTCGATATAGTAGCTATTCGGATATTCTGCTATTCAAGCAATAATTGGAACTGAATAAATACTATAAAATTGATTCGATTATCCAACTGTGACAAAACAATACTTTTCAGTAAATACATATGTGGTATTTTAATTAGGTTAAAGCGTAAGGACTTTGATTCCTTTTTTTTAAGCCACAAAACGTTTATTCTGTAAATAAGGGGATTACCCTACAACATTTCTAGAGTAATATATTTTACATATCTTTCGAATTTCTGATCGTAAATACTCCTCTCTGTTTGATTCCCTGGTCAATAATAAGAATAATATATGTAAATAATACTAACCGCTGCACCTGCTGGATCGTGGGCCACACGAAGGCCCTTCCTCCCGGCACCAAAAGCGGCTTCATGTAGCAACATCCTGTGGAATCATACAACAAAAAGTACATTGTTTACAAAACATTGCGGCATTTGAATTTCGGTTACAGCATCGCAACGCCGTTGAATTGCGCACGCATGGCTTCGGACTGCCGCTTCTCGCACTCTTCTTCTTGTTGTTCTTGTTCTTCTTCCTCTCCACATAAAATCGATAGTGACGTCAACCGGGGTGGGCCCGTGGGACATTTATTTAATAAAATTTCTAAATTAATTGGCAACTGCACGTGGTTGGAGCACATTTGCAGCGTATAATTTACCAGAAACTACCAGTGCCTCGTTGGGACCGCAGGTCACAAATCCCCAGGTCATTTTGAAGCGTTTTTTCTAATTCTCAGATAACCGGTGGTGGAATACAGATCTTTGTGATTGTTTTTATCGCGTTGTTGGAGCTTATTTATAACCGCCTATAGTTTTATAGCCTTATAGCGACCTGTGGATCGGCCGGTACTTGTTTATCGGTTCTTGTATCAAAATATATATAAGCAACTCCCGCGGGACTCGGAATTAGAAACGCAAAAAACGCGACCAGTTCGGTCCACAATTCGTAGCACAATAAAAAGTTCTCTCGTGCTCTTGAATGCTCTTTATCAAATTCTTTAACCCTATTTTGAATGAGACTGCGCAGAGCGAGTTTAACCCCTATTGAGTGCCGGTGGTTCGGAAACTCTGAAAAAGATTCGAAATGCTTGGAAGTAGCGCTTTGGTAAGTGCCTTTTTATTAGTCTACAAAACTAAGATACATTTGAATATCTGGGTCTCAAGTTAGTTAATGCTTAAGTTTTAAAAATTTTCTTTAAAACTCGCTTATCTCTGAATTGTTATCCGTTGTCAATCACTTTTGAAACCAGAAATCTTTGACAATTATAAACCATATTTTCAAACCTTAATTAAATAACAAAAATAATAAGAAAAATAACAAAGAAAAATGAACCCGTACTAAAACGTTAACGATTAATTTGGCAGCTAAATGGCTATATTAAGTGTCACATTGTTAAGGATTGTCTTTAATCTTCCGGCCGACCACATGTCGATGCTGGTGGTGTATAGCTTGGCTCCAAACAGAACGTCGGGTGGTCGGTACCACAGAGTCACCACCTCCGCGGAGTAGCACTTCACGGGGATGCCGAAGGCTCGAGCCAGACCAAAGTCAGCCAGCTTCAGTTCGCCATTCTTGTTGATCAATAGGTTCTGGGGCTTCAGATCGCGGGGCAGGACATTATGGCTGCAAGATGGTATTATTATATTAGGATGGGCAAAGAACTTTGATTTTCAATTTCAGGGTTTAAAGGTTTCCTCTGTTCATTAATCAACATTCAGTTTAAATGCAAATGTGATCTCTAATGAGAATATGACACTCGCAATCCCTCGGATGCAGTCCATGGATATACCTGTGGCAAAAGGCCAGTCCGCGGAGCAGCTGGAGCGTGAAGCTTCGGCACACGGCCATGTCGATCTCCCCGTTGAGGCTGTCGAAGTACTTCTTGAGGTCCTGGTCGCAGTGCTCGAAGACCAGGGTGAGTTTCTTGTCCGAGTGCAGGACGTCTATGAGGCGCACGATGTTCTTGTGCTTCAGCTCCTGCGGGTTGGAGCGATGGGATTAGATTACGGCCTCATGCACCCTGGCCTTGCTGAGCGTCGGAGCTGGGCACTCCCTCGTCGTCCTCGTCAAGGCGAACGCGCTTTAGGGCCACGATCTCCATGGTGTCGCGGTTGCGGCCCTTGAACACCGTGCCGTAGGTGCCCTCCCCGATCTTCTCCATCTTGTCGTACTTCTGCATCCTGATCCTGGTTTTTCTGCGGATTTTAGCTGGGTTCTAATTAGAGGTGGAGAAACATTGATGATTACATCGATAAAAGTCCTAGCCAACTATCGATACTGTTGATGTTTTCGCAAGCGGTTGGTGTCTCCGCTAACGTTGCTAACATCAATGTTTCTTTATCTCTGAAGTCTATAACATCTTTAAATATTACCAAAAGAATCGTTATATGTTTGAAAAAACTGTGGTTTTTTAAATGCTTATTCCAATATTAGTTTAAAACTAAAGGCTAGTACAAAATATGAATATTTTGTATGCCAACAACTTATATTTTAGTTTTGTTTAGTATTCAAATGTTATCCAAATTCATAAATATATAATTTAAAATTGAGTTTTTAAATTATACTAAAAAGGTATTCTGGCTTTATTAATTGTTTCACAGGATGACAGGCCTGGACTGTTATGTCTGCCAGACGATGTGCTGATCTTTATCGTGGGACATCTCGACTTGCAAACTCAGCTGAGGTTGACGCACGTGCATCTTCGGTTCCTGGAAGTAATGCCCCACGTCTGGCGGTCTCATAATAAATCTGTTAATCTCTCCCTAATCGAATTGCATTTGGACGACGAGGACCTCTGCTTCTTCCTTGGCAGCACTCAAAGAACCCTCAATTCTCTCCGGATAAAGATGGAAAGGAGATCAAACTTCGATGTCCTTACCAACTATGTGTTCCCAAAACTCAATGATTTCCGCTTCTCAACGAACTCGTTCACGTTGAATGATTCGGATTTAGCAAAAATGATTAGGAGTTTTCCTAACTTAAAAACTTTCAGCCCCCATGGAAGGTTTACCGGTGAGGGCATGACAGGATTCCAGTCCCTGGAAAACCTAACTGTCTCTTACTGCAGTAATTTCGAAATCAGCAGCCTGATTCACATACTGAAAAGTAGAAACATTAAAAGTCTTAAATTGGGATTGTTTCACACAATTCAGCTTGGGTATATCTGTTTGCCCTTGGAGGGGATACAAAACTTAGAGATGCTGGAGTGTGACATGGAGGAAATGAGAATATTGTTCCTGCCGAATTTTGAAAAGCTCACCCACTTGAAGCAGCTGTTTCTTTGTGGCCAAGTGTACGGGCCTTTTGTCGGGGCAGTGTTGGAATATGCGAAACGTAGTATCAAAACCGTGGAGATAAACATCTATGGGGAACTTAATGAGATTCTCAGCCCGAATGTTCAAATTGAAATCCTGAAAGTGGCAAAGATCTTACATGTAAATAGGGAAAGCAGAAGCTTGTTAAATTTTGATAAGATCAAAGAAATATATTTTAAGAACTGTGCCATCGATGAGATTGGCCTTAAGCAAATAATAAGAAGTCTAAAGACTACTGAGATCCTAGGCCTTAGTGATTGCAAGTTTGATTTCAAGGAATTCACATTTTTTCCACTTGAGATTGCCAAGGGCCGTCATAAAACACTCCATATCTTTTCGGGTCCAAACCTCGTCTGTAATGAAGATGAATACGTAAGTCTAAAAAGAATCACTTATTTTTGTTATCCAATGATAATGTTTTTGTTCATAGGTGCCGATTACAAATATAATATGGATAGTGGAGGGCGAACATCCTTATTTCAAGCTTCACATGGAGCATCCAATTATCAGTCATGGCTCTGAACCAGTTTCTATTTATTTCGACTGACTTTATAGTATTGAAGATCTTATTTTGTGACTTGATTCGAATTTAAATGGGAGAGCCAATATTAAAACTGTTTCATAAGTTTTTGTTTTTAGATACTACATTAGTATCGAATAAATCTGTATTTACTCACTGGCTAAACTAATAAACTTTATGTTACTGCGACGGAAACCTATAATTAGATTACCTGGGCTAGGAATTGGGTGTAAAATTGGAAGAAGTGTAACTAGAACGCTTTCACACCTTCATAATTTAAGAAAGCATCCTCGTTTTCGGGGATCCAAGGCTGACTTCAAGACACCATAACTTCCCAATTCCACGAGGGGCAAGCTTTATCCCCAGGACTCGAAGCCTCGCGAAGTGCGATTCCTGGACAGGATTTTCTCCAGGCCCACAAACTGGACAGTGGGAGAATGGTGGGTTTGTAGTGCACCTGATTTCTCCAAGTTCCTATATAACCATTATAAATATCTGGAGACTTATTCTATAAAATTCGTTATGTACTACAAATTCTCGTAAGATTTCTAAAGCTTACCACGACATTTACCGTTGAGCTCAGATGCTGAGCGATCCTGTTAAGAAATTTCCTGAAGGACGAACGGAGAAGAGGACGTGACCGCTTGTTGTTGTTGTTGTTACTACTGTTGCTGTTGTTATTGTTGTTTGAGCTGGAAATAACATCGGCGATGTATCGTTACATCGATGTTTTCCAAAACTTGGGAAACATCGAGGTTTTCAAACATCAATGTTCGATGTTTCCTCTTTACCCATCACTGCTTGGCAGGAAAGAATCTTGGTAATCTAAACACATTTTTGATTAAAGCCTAGTATCCAGATCGACGAAAACCGTACGCCAGTCATGAGAGAGAGCGAGAGGCAAACAGCTGGCGTTCACTTTTCGTCCGGCCTTTTTTTCACGTCGCTCCCCTGATCGACGAAAAAAATACCAGAAAATTCCATAGCGTTGCCAGTCTGCGGAAATGAACTTTGGGTGAACCCTAGCGAAAAGATTAAAAAATGTAATCTTTTGGCGTGCGCTTCTCACTGAACATTATAAGAAATGGAGGGAAAAACTCAAAAAACTCGCAAAAGTCGATTGCAGGAGTTTACAATTGAGGACAAAATAAAATTAATACTATCTGGGGTGCCTCTTGTCAGAGCAAAATGTTTTTTAGGTCCCGAATGTACGAAAAAACACAATAAAAGAGCAGCTATGAACTTTAAATTAGCAAATAATTATCAGTAAATTAAAAAAAACAACTGTTAAATTTAAATTCTATTGTTTTTTAATTTCTTTGTACACCGACAGACTTGCCAAGACTTGTCTTGCCAAGGTATTTGATAATATCTTTTAAAGGCTCTTTCCCGCAATTACGATATTTGAATTTTAACTGCTTGTCAACAAACCCAGCTGATTGACAGTACGACCGTAGCACGCTTAAATCTGATGAACTCTCAAACTTTTGGTCACACTGGAAAGATTAAAGTTTTTAAAAGTTTTTTGTCGATCTGGATACTAGGCTTAATTAAATAAAAGAAACTAAAATATACGTTAAAATTAGAATAGAATTCGATGTATCGATACATCGATGTTTTTTTCTGAAAAACATCGAAACATCGATGTAGGTAAACATCGATGATTTTCCACCTCTACGTAGCAAAATAAAAAGTTCTCTCGTGCTCTTCAAAGCTCTTTATCAAATTCTTTAACCATATTTTGTTTGAGGCTGGTTCGGTGGTTTAAATTCTGTGGTTCCGGTGGTTCGGAAACACCTCTGAAAAAGATTCGAAATGCTTGAAAGTAGTGCTTCGGTAAGTGCCTTTTTATTAGTCTACAAAACTAAGATACATTTGAATATCTGGGTCTTAAGTTAGTTAATGCTTAAGTTTTAAAAATTTTCTTTAAAACTCGCTTATCTCTGAATTGTTATCCGTTGTCAATCACTTTTGAAACCAGAAATCTTTGACAATTATAAACCATATTTTCAAACCTTAATTAAATAACAAAAATAGTAAGAAACAAGAAAGAACGCTATAGTCGAGTGCCTCGACTATTAGATACCCGTTACTCAGCTAAACAATTGCAACTGTGTACAATGTAAATACATACATATGTATATGCTTACATACATACACACATACGCCATTGTTTGACTCAGACCTCCAATTTGGCTAACTTGATTTGATTTGCATAGTTCTTGGGATATAGTTCGGTATTGACAAATGAAAACCATCGCAATTTCCTTTAATAGAAATCCTTATCGAAAATTAACGTTGACTCTGTTGAGCACCTTGGCCAGCTGTTCCAAAGTCATCCGTTAGATGGCGCCATGAAAGGCGGAAATGTAGGCGCTAGCCAGGCTTAAGCGTTTAATGGGTTTTTGGGCGTTAGAGTGGGCGTGGCAAACTTTTATTAGGCCAATCGATAGGTATTGACGAAACAAATACATATCAATTAAAATTTTCATAATAGCATCAAAACTGTGGCCACAGCTTGTGGCTTGTGGGCGTCAGAGGGGGCGTGGCACCATTTTGAAACAAACTTGCGCTGCGTAGGAACACCTAAAATCTACATACAAAATGCCAATCTTCTAGCTTTTATAGTTTCCGAGATCTCAGCGTTCATACGGACAGACAGACGGACAGACGGACATGGCTAGATCGACTCGGCTAGTGATCCTGAACAAGAATATATATACTTTATAGGGTCGGAAACGCTTCCTTCTACCTGTTACATACTTTTGCACGAATACAATATACCCTTTTACTCTACGAGTAACGGGTATAACAAGAAAGGAAAGCTAACTTCGGGCGGAGCCGAAGTTGATATACCCTTGCAGAATACTCTGTAAATTATATTCTCCAAAATTATTCATATGATGCATTCTTAATACTCATAAAAATCCCAACTTCCTAACTTTAAAAACACCAAAGTTATGGCATTTCCGATCAATCAGTTATATGGCAGCTATAGGATATAGTCGGCCGATCCATATGAAATTTGGTAGGTCGGATTGATTAGCCAAATATAAAACCCATAGAAAATCCCAACTTTCTAACTTTACAAACATCAAATTTATGGCATTTCCAATCAATCAGTTATATGGCAGCTATAGGATATAGTCGGCCGATCCCGGCCGTTCCGACATATATACTGCGTGCAAAGGAAAGAAGGGTGTGTGCAAAGTTTCAATTCGATAGCTTTAAAACTGAGAGACTAGTTTGCGTAGAAACAGACAGACGGACATGGCTATATCAACTCAGGAAGTGATCCTGATCAAGAATATATATACTTTATAGGGTCGGAGATGTCTCCTTCACTGCTTTGCACACTTTTGACCAAAATTATAATACCCTCTGCAAGGGTATAAAAATGCCAAAGGAATTAAAATGAGATCTTTAAACAAAGAAAAATGAACCCGTACTAAAACGTTAACGATTAATTTGGCAGCTAAATGGCTATATTAAGTGTCACATTGTTAAGGATTGTCTTTAATCAAACTTTTTTTTTGTTATTTTGCTTTGGCAACTAAAAACCTAGCCTAAAAACATATTGCAAAAAACAAAGGACAGTTCATCCTAGTCTATAATCGATGCCTACTACACAGATACTGTTCGAAGATCTACGCATTTCATAGCTAGACAAGGTTAGGGGTTTGGCTTAAGTCTAATCAAAGTACGTGGCCCATACCAATGCCAACCCACTCGATTCCATGTTAGTGCCCCGAAGAGCTGCTGTCCGTGAAGTAGGGATGCTGCATGGCGGCCTCGGCGCTGATCCGCTGATTTGGCCGGCAGACGAGCAGCTTTTGCAGCAGGTCGCGTCCCTTGGAGTTCAGCCTGGGCACCAGTTGGCTCCACGAGGTAATGGCCGGAAAGGCTGCCAAGTAAATGTGGGTTAGTTCAGTACTACCATAAGAATATAGCTCTTGAAGCCTCACATGGAAGCGCCACGTAGTCCGAGAGGTGCGAGACCCCCGGCCAGGAGTCCTCGTTGGGGGTGCCCAGCACTCGGAAGATCTTCATCAGCTGGTCGAGGACATCGGAGCCGGGAAACAGCGGTCGTCCAGCGTCCGCCAGCTCCGCCAGGATGCATCCGGCCGACCACATGTCGATGCTGGTGGTGTATAGCTTGGCTCCAAACAGAACGTCGGGTGGTCGGTACCACAGAGTCACCACCTCCGCGGAGTAGCACTTCACGGGGATGCCGAAGGCTCGAGCCAGACCAAAGTCAGCCAGCTTCAGTTCGCCATTCTTGTTGATCAATAGGTTCTGGGGCTTCAGATCGCGGTGCAGGACATTATGGCTGCAAGATAGTATTATTATATTAGGATGGGCAAAGAACTTTGATTTTCAATTTCAGGGTTTAAAGGTTTCCTCTGTTCATTAATCAACATTCAGTTTAAATGCAAATGTGATCTCTAATGAGAATATGACACTCGCAATCCCTCGGACGCAGTCCATGGATATACCTGTGGCAAAAGGCCAGTCCGCGGAGCAGCTGGAGCATGAAGCTTCGGCACACGGCCATGTCGATCTCCCCGTTGAGGCTGTCGAAGTACTTCTTGAGGTCCTGGTCGCAGTGCTCGAAGACCAGGGTGAGTTTCTTGTCCGAGTGCAGGACGTCTATGAGGCGCACGATGTTCTTGTGCTTCAGCTCCTGCGGGTTGGAGCCATGGGATTAGATTATGGCCACATGCATCCTGGCCTTGCTCCTCCCACTCACCTTCAGCAAGCAGATCTCCCGGAGGGCGGAGCTGGGCACTCCCTCGTCGTCCTCGTCGAGGCGAACGCGCTTTAGGGCCACGATCTCCATGGTGTCGCGGTTGCGGCCCTTAAACACCGTGCCGTAGGTGCCCTCCCCGATCTTCTCCATCTTGTCGTACTTCTGCATCCTGATCCTGGTTTTTCTGCGGATTTTAGCTGGGTTCTAATTAGAGGTGGAGAAACATTGATGATTACATCGATAAAAGTCCTAGCCAACTATCGATACTGTTGATGTCTTCGCAAGCGGTTGGTGTCTCCGCTAACGATGCTAACATCAATGTTTCTTTTATCTCTGAAGTCTATAACATCTTTAAATATTACCAAAAGAATCGTTATATGTTTGAAAAAACTGTGGTTTTTAAAATCTTATTCCAATATTAGTTTAAAACTAAAGGCAAGTACAAAATTTGAATATTTTGTGTGCCAATAACTTAATTTTAGTTTTGTTTAGTATTCAAATTCATTAATATATATTTTAAATTTAAGAAAATTATATTATAAAGGTATTCTGGCTTTATTAATTATTTCACAGGATGACAGGCCTGGACTGTTAGGTCTGCCAGACAATGTGCTGATCCGTATCGTGGGACATCTCGACTTGCAAACCCAGCTGAAGTTGACGCACGTGCATCTTCGGTTCCTGAAAGTAATGCCCCATGTCTGGCGGTCTCATAATAAATCTGTTAATCTCTCCCTAATCGAATTGCATTTGGACGACGAGGACCTCCGCTTCTTCCTTGGAAGCACTCAAAGAACTCTTAATTCTCTCAGGATCAAGATGAAAAGGAGATCAAACTTCGATGTCCTTACCAACTATGTGTTCCCAAAACTCAATGATTTCCGCTTCTCAACGAACTCGTTCACGTTGAATGATTCGGATTTAGCAAAAATGATTAGGAGTTTTCCTAACTTGCAAACATTCAGTCCCCATGGAAGTTTTACCGGTGAGGGCATGACAGGATTCCAGTCCCTGGAAAACATAGTTGTGTCTCACTGCTATAATTTCGAAGTCAGCAGCCTGATTCACATACTGAATACTAGAAACATTAAAAGTCTTAAATTGGGATTGTTTCACAGAAGTCTGCTTGGGAATATCAGTTTGCCCTTGGAGGGGATAAAAAACTTAGAGGTGCTGGAGTGTGACATGGAGGAAATGAGAATATTGTTCCTGCCGAATTTGGAAAAGCTCACCCACTTGAAGCAGCTGTTTCTTTGTGGCCAAGTGTCCGGGCCTTTTGTCGGGGCAGTGTTGAGATATGCGAAACGTAGTATCAAAACTGTGGAGATAAACTTCTATGGGGAACTTAATGAGATTCTCAGCCGTAATTTTCAAACTGAAATCCTGAAAGTGGCAAAGATCTTCCATGTAAATAGAGAAAGCAGAAACGTGTTAAATTTTGATGAGATCAAAGAAATATATTTTAAGTACTGTTGCATCGATAAGATTGGCCTTAAGCAAATAATAAGAAGTCTAAAGACTACTGAGATCCTAGGCCTTAGTGATTGCAAGTTTGGTTTTGAGGAATTCACATTTTTTCCACTGGAGATTGCCAAGGGCCGTCATAACACACTCCATATCTTTTTGGGTCCAAACCTCGTCTGTAATGAAGATGAATACGTACATAAGTCTAAAAAGAATCACTTATTTTTATTATCCAATTATAATGTTTTTGTTTACAGGAGCAGATTACAAATATAATATGGATAGTGGAGGGCGAACATCCGTATTTCAAGCTTCACATGGAGCATCCAATTATCAGTCATGGCTCTGAACCAGTTTCTATTTATTTCGACTGACTTTATAATATTGAATATCTTAATTTGTAACTTGATTCGAATTTAAATGGCAGTGCCATTTTGTTAAGTTTTTGTTATTAGATACTACATTAGTATCGAGTAAAGCTGTACTTACTGAATAATAAACTTTATGTTACTGCGACGGAAACCTATAATTAGATTACCTGGGCTAAGAATTGGGTGTAAAATTGGAAGAAGTGTAACTAGCACGCTTTCACACTTTCATGATTTAAGAAAGCATCCTCCTTTTCGGTTATCCAAGGCTGACTTCAAGACACCACAACTTCCCAATTCCACGAGAGGCAAGCTTTATCCCCAAGACTCGAAGCCTCGCGAAGTGCGACTCCTGGACAGGATTTTCTCCAGGCCCACAAACTGGACAGGGGGAAGAATGGTGGGTTTGTAGTACTCCTAATTTCTCTAAGTTCCTATATAACCATTGTAGTTTCCATCTGCAGCAATAACTCTAAGCCAGCCGACCCAGAGTCTGAAGAAGATTTCTAGCTGTATTAGTTACAAAATATATGGCTAAATTTATTAAGGCATTGGAGCAGGGAATGGTGGGTGAATCTCAGGAGCACAACTCCAACTCGGCGCGCTCCGAATCCGACATGGGCTCCACAACCTGCAGACAGGCATTCGCGAACTCCAGGAACAGTGGCTCCTGCATGGCGGCCATCATGGCCGTCTGAGCATTGATGGCGACATCGATCTGCTGGAGAAGCGAGCGCAGGTGCGGATTATGGAGCAAGTTGCGCAGATTCGGGCAGTTTTCTGTGGGAAAACACAGTTAAAAAAGGATGATTTACTGGGTAACCAAGCCCACCTAGGTGCTGTAGCTTATCCGCAGGCACAGTGTCATCGGTGGTAAAGGGTACATGGAGAGTAGGTTCCTCTTGGAATGCAGGCTCATCCTTTTTTCCCACCAAATCCTTGGCCAAACATTGGGGCGAGTCCTTGTGGGCCTTATAACAGGCAACAGAGCAGCTGTAAATGTGGTTTTAATTAATCTATTAGTAGACTGAACTAAATGCTACTTACTAAGGCGCCGAGCACTTGCTGCATTTGTATTTCCTCGTGGTTTCCTCGCAATTAATGCAGTTTTCCATCTCATCAAAACAAAAATAGCGTGCAAACTAAAAACATATGTACGAGTGACACATCATTCAGTTTTTGTCTGTTCATTAAATCCCAGGCCGTTGCTGCGTTTCTGTAACGCCGTTTTCTTTTTGGCGGTAGAGAATAAAAAAGTTAATCACAAATCGCAAGCAGAACAATAACAAAATACGCATTAGATCACGCGGCTTCATTGCAATTTAGTAAATAAATAAAATGAACGAAATCCTACGAAATAATAAAATCCATTCTACTGACAGTTTTTCAATTGAGTTTTGTAACTGTCAGCTTTCAACATCAGGAACTCGATAGTCCCGTTTTTATTTGAATTCTAAAATGTTTAATGTTTATGGTAATTACGATCCTCTTGCTGGATTTAATCAGAAATGTATACCCTTTTAGTAGTAACGTCGCATTAATTTTAACCAAAAAATTACATAAATTTACTTTTAAAACGCTATATAGGACTGAGGCTAATCACGCGACTCTTTAGTACATTTGAATTTCCAAAAGCCTTAATAAAATTTTTTTTTTGCAAAATAGCAAATACGAATTTAATAATTCATAATTATTTGTATTTTTAGCTTACCATGAAGTCTGCTGTCTTGATTTGTAAACTAGAATTCGAATTTGGAAAAGTTTTTTAGACTCAGATCGCTTTAGAAAATATTCGAATATAAATACAAATACAAAGTACAAGGTGTATTTGGTCAGATAAAGGTGGCCATAGAGTCGCTCTGCCCTTTTCCGGTTTCGGCCAGGTTTATTTGATTGTATGTATCCTCCGTATCCGGTGTTGTTTGCTTTAGCCAGTCTCATTTATGGGCCATCCCGGGCACGTCATCTTCCGTGCGGCTCCTGAGCAAACAAACGAGGGCCGCTTATCATGGTAGCCCCTTCCCCCGCAACCTTTTCCCGCCCCACCCGGTCACGCCCCCCGCAGCCCCTGCCCCACGGCAATGCGCAGTCTGAAGGCACCTGGCGAATTAACCGAGAATTCGACAAGCGAGAGGGCAGCAATCAAATGACGGTCGGCGTGTCCACAAATTGTAAACACATCCTGCACACGGAACGGACTGGAACGGTGTGGAATGGAACGGAAAGGACCTCCCCGGGAAGGAATCGTCGTCCAGATCCGCTCCAGGTCCACAGATAAGTACAGTTGGCTAAGAGCAAAAACCACAAAAAAGGCGATTTGAATACCCTCGAGTATTTCTATAATTAATAACAGGAATATGACTTATTTCCCAAATCTTTAATGTAATCCGTTTATTTAGCAAATTAATTTAAACAAAATGTCTTTCAACTGATTAGTATAACTTAAGACTTGATTTTAAAGAAATCATTGTCTTACATAATATAGTATTATATAAAGTTGATAGGATAAATTTCTCGTCAGACAGTAAGTTAACTTTATAGTCTAAATATAAAAATCTTTATTGTCAAAAATTCTAGTAGTCCAATACATCTTTTTGTAAAAATTCTTGTAATCCAATTCATCAATTTTTTTGTTTAACGATTGCATTTCTAATCAATCTCAGAAATCACTGCAATATGGTCATTAAATTGCTTTTTTTGTGAATGAATGAAATATGAAGTATTATCTATAGAATTGAAAGAAAATAGTTAAGTTATACCATTTTTATATTCCCTGGGTTGTGTTTTCTTTTAGTCGGAATTATAATAACCTGTGCCAGGGTATAGCAAACAGCGAAAAACTTTTGGTGGCAATAAATGACTTCAATGAGTGACTGACTGACCGGAAGGGGTGGTCTATGGTCTACTAGGTGCACGGCCGAATCTTTTTCCCCCTTTTTGCCATATTTTTTGGGGACTTGTAGCCCGGACTATGTTGTTGTTATTTTCTACGGTTTTTGCTTTGTTTTTCTTTTTTTTGTTGTGCTACCAATTGGATTGCACAAAGAAAAAAGAGCGAGGGGGAGGGGATAGAGGAAAGCAAAGGATGCCGGTGAACAATGGTTGGAGAAGGTGTGGATTCGCATTGCAGGGGGAAGAGGGGAGAGAGGAGGTTGAAGGGGAATCGGAATCGGACCGGGTAACATGATGGCGCCTCTGCCGCTTCCGCCGTTCGTGAGGCACAAGCGCGATAATTGCCAGCGTTATCCGCTCGGCCTGCCAGTCAAATAGGCGCAGCAGCAGAGGCGCTGTGAGGGGGGGGGGGGTTGGCAAGGGGGGGCGGCAAGGGGGGGCAAAGGGGGTCCGAAAGGGGGCAGGAAGACCCTTCGTGTGACTCGCCTACTTTTGATTTACAACATTCGTGCAACATCAGCAGCGGTGTATCGCCAAAAGGAAAAGGGGCGACCAATGCAAACAGCAAGAAGAAAAGCGAGACACACGCCACCAAATGGGGCACAATGCAAAAGGCAAAAAGCAGGCGGCTTTTCCGAGGGCAGGTGTCGTTCGTTAGGAGTTTTCAGCGTTTTTCATTCCCAGCTTTTCCCAGTTACCAACTACCCAGTTACCAACTACCAGTCACCAGTTACCAGCTAACAGTTACCAGTTACCAGCAACCCGCCAGCGAAAAAGCCAAAAGCGATATTAATAGATAGCGGCACTTTTCGCTTCGTTTTTATCGCCCGAAAAGCCAAAGGAGGAAAAAACTGGAAGGTAGAAAGGTGGAAAGGGGTGGGGGGGAGGGGGGAAGTCCTGGCAATTGGGCAGATTGACAGATCATGCAATCATAGTGGCACAGCGTTTATAGAGCATATAATGAATATTAAATTACATGCAACACATCTGACTTCGGCAGTCCAACTTCCTTACCGCGAATTTGTTTAAGCAAAAGGAGATCTTGTTTTCAATGAAATATTTTCTCTTAGTTGCACTAGTATATTAGTTCATTGCCAATCGTAGTTTGCCACTTTTTAATTGTTTCCAAAAATGATAGTTCTGTAACATCTAAACTAAATAAATATTATTTACAAAAATATTATATATATAGTTACAGTCTGAACATTGTAAAAAAAGACCAGACCTACAAGTTAAGCAACAAAAATTCTTCTTTAAATAGTTGAAAAGATAATACATGAGTTTTATTATTTGTTCAAAATCAAAGAAATTTGGATTATAAAATGGGTTGGTAACCTATAAACTGAAAATAGTATTCATGGAAATAAAACTATTGATGCACGAAAACTTCTTAATAAGTTGCCTATTAACTAAATGCCTTCCAAAGTTTTAAAACTAAACCTTTGCTATCAAAATAACCCCACAGAAGAATAATCTTTAATAAATCTCCAAAGAAAGGCTTTACATTAATAAGTAATAATTTTATACTTAGTCTATAGGTTATTTAATTTAAACTGTTACTTTTTCGGTAGTAAATATAAAAGTAAATATATTATTTATAGCTTGAGGAGCTCAAACCTGACTTCTTGTTGTTTCCGCCTTAGCGGGTTGGGCCCGTAATGCTTCCAGGCAAACGCATACTGGGCATATGGGCATATTGGGCGCTGGCAGGCATGCAATCGCGACATCTGTCAGCCGATTCGATTGCTATTCTTCGGGGGATTGGATAGTGGACTAGTGGGTCATCAAATGGATTCGAAAATAATTCGAAATTCCGTCCGGATACCAGGACACATTAACTATCAGCAGGAGACTCCGGCGAGGCAGTGGAATGGGCCGGCACTATATGAATCCAATGGCTTGTAATTTATAACGCAATCACGTGCCACATTCGACGCCGTCGAGCAAAGGCGCCAAAAATATGAATATATATATGAACCGAGAGCGACTAAATAATTTGGAAATGATTTACAATACGGCCGGGTAGAAGGGGAGGAGTGGAAACGGACGGAGTTCGGAGTCCGGAGGTTCATAAATCTAACTGCATGACGAAAAGATGCAGTCCACTGGAGTCGAGTTCGCTGGTGTTCTTGGGGCGCCCCGGCGAAATGTGCTGAAATTACAGGCTGCAGCCGGGAATGATGCATGACTGGCAGCAGCAGCAGGATGAGAAAAGATAAAAGTGCCTCTTTTTTTGCGGAACAGGGGAACCCCGAAAATTGTCAAACTCGTATACTCGTAAAAATGCGACCCCGTGGCGCTAATTCGGTTATGTATTGTCAGTGGGCCTAATCTAGCGGGAAATGGCCTTTAGTCTTTGGCGGTTGAAGGGGATTCCCCAGCGATGCTGAGGCGATAATTGCAATGGCAGTCATTTCAATTTGCCCGCTCCCCAGTACGCCGTTCGCAGTTCGCAGTTTGCAGCCCGCTTTGATGGATGGCAGCGGACTGCAGTCCGGCGATGTTGTCAAACATTTCGCGCCTTGGCCATTTGTCTTTCCGCCGCCGCTGCTGCTGCGGCTCTGGCTGCTCCTCCCGAACCTGCCCCAGTCCTCCTTATGTCCTTATGTTGCAGATAACGCTTGTCATCTAAAAGGGTAGCTCAACTTTCCAGGGCAGTTTGGCAAACCGGATTGACAGTCCAACAAAAACCAGAGATGAAACATTATAAGGAATTTTTAAATGAAGAGGCTACAAAATACAGATTTTTATTAATATTCATTTTTGATTAATTTTTAAAATAATATTATTATTTTCATTTATGTTTAAACGACATATATAAAACTTTTTACTCTAGTGCACACAATGTATACACTTTAGACAATTTAAAAAAATAGTACCAAACTCTATTCATACAAATTTGATACAAAATAGCATCGTTTTTTAAAACTAGTAGTCTCAAATAATAATTATTAATTTTAAGATATTTGTTTTTAACATACTACTATTATTTATATTTAATATGTATCCACACAAGGTACAAAAATCAGCCAAGTTGAAAAATAAAATCAAACTCTATTTAACCAAGTTGCATACAAAATAGCGTAGTATTCCAGAAATAATAGTCTCAAATAAGGATTGATTTCGGCCCTTTGCTTCAACCCAAAGTTGCTTGTTAAAGCATATTTCCAACCAATTAGCCATGAGTAATACCTAACTTAGAGCCGTTAGGGCAACTAATCGCTGCCTTGGGTCATGGATACTTGTTAGATTTGCTGTGTTTTTATTTCGACTTTGACTGTTTCTTTCTTGTTGCACTGCGCCTTAATTAAAAAGCTGCAGGCCGCTTTAGAAGAACTTTTCTAAGCGAAATAAAGGAGGAGCGGGGCGACCGTGGTATTTATGACTTGGCACGCAACGGAGGGGAATGATTTACGGTTTCCACGGCTTCGGTTTATTGAGAGGCGCCACAGGCAGCG